TTCCCTTGAGTCTCCGGAGCAACGTCGTTTTTGAGACCTTATAGTCTCTCGCTGCCGCTGCTACGGAGCGGCTGGCACCTGATCTGACAGCTGACATCGCAAGCAATAGACTCCCCTCTTTTAGGGACGATTGCACGCGTTTTGGTGTAGCCATTGCGTGTTGAAGTTGACGCGTTGTTGTGTTCAAAATTGTGGACCGCGTTGGGGTATGGACCGCGTTGGGGTTCCCCGCGTTACCGGTTCGTATTACATAATAGCTGCACCTGGATCGTTTGAAACTCCCCCTACTGGCGGATAATTACCTGCGTGCTCTGATCGCTGTACTTTGAGCGCCGCGAGTTCTTAGAGCAGTGGGTGTCTTTGTTGTCGCTTCCGATGATTATACAACCTCTTTTTGTGCTGTGCCGTGCTCAACGCCTTGTGCCGTTGAAGTCAAGGATCGGTCACGTGATCTTACCCTCGCCCAGTCGTGCACGCATCCGCTTCGGGCCATCTTCTCTAGATCTGGGCGGGTTTATGCCTATAGTAAGGAGCATTCACAAGGGAGTCAATTTAACGTGAACGGCCTGCCGATCGGAATAATTGAATCCAAGCCCCGTCAGCGAAGCGCACGTACGATTAAGATTGCCATGTAACGTGTTACGTCCTCCAAACCTGTTCGACACCTCACCGCCGTCGACTTCTTAAATCATCGTCTCGTGTAATGCAGAAAAGCTCAATTGCCAACATCGAATAGCTTATCGGTCCTACCTCGCAGGCATGAAGGGGCCTCCTGTAGCCATATCTCATCGGTCTCGTGTGTGTAGAGGTTCCCCTTACCCAAAAGCACTGCCGAGACCATCGCGACCAATAAGCTGGGCATTTCCTTTAACAATACCTTGCTATCGTGACCGACCGGACTTGTGGTTGATTTGATGGAATTATTCGAATTGATGGGCAATTTGATGGAAATTTGGCGGGACCGATTGAACTTGATGGAGCATTTGATGGAGCGTGCTCGCGGTGCGGATGCAGCCGGCGGGGCTACGAAGGCGCCGAGGCGGGAGTGATGCTGGGTGGACTGGAGTAAAAGAGATTTGAGATGGCACTCGATTTACACGCGGGGAACTCTTCTGCGCCACAGATTTCTGTTGGGTGGCTCGGTATCATTAGAAAAAGCCTGTCATGCTCCCTAGTAACGAGGGGAATTCTAGACCGTTATTACAAGGTAGGGAGTTCATGAGGTAAAGTCAGACACTGCATGGCTCGATGACTTCGCCGGAACGCATGATGATCCGAGCGAGGTCATCGGTGTTGCCTCAATCGCGATGTGTTCTCGCATTGGTACAAATCCTTCTTGTCGCCTAGCTTGGATCTCTATGCGGGTGACTGCACTATGCTCTGCCTCACGCTTCATCTGATCGAGAAGATCAGATTTCAGCCTCATCTCATTATCGTTTCGCGTAAACTATGTCCGTGCGGGGAGGATCTCTCGTTGCCTCGCCGTTTTACCTTTGTGGCCCGTTCTCCCCTGGACATGTTTTCGAGCTATTCCAAGCTCCTTTATTGCCAAAATGAGAGCTCCCGCAATGGATGAGAAATTTAGGACAATATATAGATATGCGGCGATATCTTTCCCCTCCTGCGGCTGAGGAATAACTCCGCTTGAAGCCCGAAGGAGCCTTTCACCAGCGGCATGCAATGCGCTCCATTGTAGCTGATCCTGCACATATTCGAAAGTATCAGGACGCTTGCGTCTTTACTAGCCCCCAGTCCGACACAGCGTGATGGTTGTTGTGACGCAAATCCGCTCAACACCTGCAGTTTGGTTTGCTGGTATGTGTAGACTGGAAATGTGGACGGACTAGTGCTTGTGTGAAAGGCTCTTGCTATCGTGTGGCTTCCCGTAAGCGCGTACACCTGGGCAGTCATGAAAACATGCGGTTAACGGCGCACAAATCCTCAGCTTGTGACTAGCTTTGATTAATTCACGACTTAGATGGAATACTGCATGCATAGTTCTGGCGTGATTGGGCAGGTCTGGATGTGCAAAGACATGAATTGCTTCTCTTCGAACTTTGTCGAAGCTGACCAGTCGTGCGTTTGCATACCGAATCCATTGAATTTCTTAGTTCTGGCAGCTTCCACAGCTGATCTTGGAGGAGGGTTGTCATACAGGAAGAACCGCGCAAGCAACTAGACTACCTAGTAACAGATCAATGCGGCAAGTGAATAATAAAAGCTAGCTGCGACTTGCTGTAAACAAGCAAAGAACATTTTTCTTTTCTCCAACACCATCTACGCGACTCAAAGCATTCCTTGTGTCATCTCTCCAGTCAGTTCCTCGGTCATCATTGCCACTCAATCGTTCCTTTCGCCTTTATCCTTGATCTCACAGTAATTTAGAAATGAGAGGCATTGACCATGAGCGGCGGGAGGCATGGCGTGAGAACGCAAAGAGAGGCATCGACAAGAGCGGCGAGAACGGCGTCGGCCAAGGCTCAGCCATGGAGAGTTCAGTGATCGAGAGCTTTCCCCTCACCTCAGACCGTCCGCCGCTACGCCCTTCACTCGGACGTCGACAGACCATGCCCCCGATAGGATGCCATTCGAATCTCTCGAAGCACAAGACTTCAGAATGCTCCGGAACACGGTTGCCCACAATGGAGACTACGCGGCTGAAGGTCATGGCCGACTCATACCACAATACAGGCCTTGCAGCCGCATCGATAGAGATGACGACGAGTGGGTCGGGCTTTGGAGTGCGCAGCTCAATATAGAGGCGTGGCGGACAGCGATCGATGATCCAAGGTCAACACTGGAGACAAAGCGGAATGCATTACAGAGAGTCATGATCGATCGCGCGCAGCTAAGAGGTGAGCAGTAGTATCGGAGATAGAGAATGCGATCTCGTATGCGCTAATATGGAACAGGGCCTGCCAACTCGAACGTAGCTCAACAATTTGCTGTCAAGAATATCGTCAGAGAGGTTGCCAACTCAACTCTCCTCGATGAAGATGCAGGCCCCAGAATCGTCGTCAAGAGAAGGTCACACCACTCACCAAGCTTGTCGGGCAGCTGTGATCTTGGACAATTGTCTCCCCTTTACGCAGCAGGCTTTGAAGAAAACGAGGGATCTCGGGGCAGCAAGCGCCGAAAGATGAACGAACAGACCGATGCTTCAGATGTTGTGCACAACCTTCAAGTTGAAGCTGAAACAACATCTGGAACTTTGTTCGTGACACCCGGACAGTCACCGGTCGCCTCCGTCGATAGTGCTTTATAATGTCTGCCCCATCAATCAGAGACTCGAGAAGAAGGCTCCAATACCTTCGCTGGTGATAATGCACCAGGAATTTCTGCTTCGAAAAGCTCCGGAAGTGAATTAAAAATCTCACTGCATCACCAGCCGATCGACGAAAACCGATCAGCTTCCCTGCCCGATGGTATGGATTCGCAGGTTCCGGACTCAGGTATACTGTACCACGGTCCCTTCGAGTTACATCCAGCATCGCCATGTGAGACTTCGTCATCGATCAAATCTATCGAGCAATTTGGAAGTCGATCTAACGGTCGTGCCGACTCCGAGAAAAAGAACTTTGATCACCCAAGCCTCGAGCACACGAACTTTCGGAACGAGAGTCGACCGGACTCAGCCCTCATGTTACATCAATCCGATAAAACACCAGACGGGCTATTCCATATGACCAGATGACGGTCTTCGCCGTCACAGCTATGCAACAATGGCTGTGACCTATCTCGAAATTGAGACGCGCCGGCTTCGACTTCTGCAAAGACACAATGCGCTTGATCAAAAGAACACCGCGATAAAAGCAAGACAGGTTGCTTTGGAGCGCAAGCAGTGTTCTGTGGATTTGGAGAGAACAAAGCTGGAACGGGAGGAGATTAAATTGGATACAATGATTTGCGATCTTCAAGATGCTGTGCGGCGGAATGATTCTTGATCGCGAGGAGCTTCAAAAGCATATATCGATTTCTCTGATGCTGAGCCCGAGGCGCGGCGTCGGACGTGATCGAGACTTGGAATAACTTGCAGCCATCAAATGCTACAGAACGCCTAGAATGCTAGAAATGGAAAAAGGTTGGCGTCCTGATACGGACCTGAAGGCGTGGAAAGGGAGTGTAACCTTCTACCAAATCGCACGAAGCATTGCGTTCACGCGGTGGACTTGATACTGAACTTCCTGAAAGTTCAGAATTCCGCCATCAGTCCAGTCAATACCGACCCTGGAGACAGGATATTCACTGAGAACAATGATCCGAATGAGATCGCTGTGGCGACACTTGTGTATGAAGCAGGCCACTTCGCTCCTCGTGCGGCATATCCAATGACAGACGCTCAGCACGAGAGAGTAACACGAAGAAGGGCCAAGAGAGAGATCTCAAGCGAAAGCTGGAAAAGAAGAGAATAAGGCTTGAAATCATGGACTTGGAGGACGAGCTCCAGTGGTGGTACGCGAACAAAGTCGAATCGGTTGACGAGCAGATGGACGACGTGTGAGCATCGGCTTGGACATTCCTTGACGCCTGGTGTGGTTTTGGTTGTGAAAAATTGTCGTTTTTTAGTTTGATTCGGCTTGTCGTTGAGCTTGGAAGCAATGAGATCCATGTTGACCTTTCGCCAGGTTCCGCCAGGCCGGCACGAAGTCTCCGTCGAGGACCGGAGCAGCGCTCGCTTCGATCAATAAGTTGCGCAGGACTCTATACTCTATGTCCCCACCGTTGATTTGGTCTTGCTATTGTTATTTCGTCGCTATGATCGTAACGGCGGAATCTTGGCTCAGCGCTTTGTCGCTGTGCAGAGCCCAACAAGGCGTGACTCCTGTGCGACGCATGTTCGAAAGTTGTTCTGTAGCACTCATTCTGAGCAACGGAAATGTGATCTATACTCTGTCTACTAGGCAGGAACTCAAATGGAGAGAAGACGCCCAGGTCGTGAACTGTAGAGACGCAGGAGTGAGACTGGACGACAATCGTGTCCGCAATGGCATGTCCGTAGGAACGCGCACGCCGATCAGACGGGCTCGCCGTGGAGTTTAGAGACATCCAATGCCTTTGATGATCAGCTGCGATCGCATGCAATGTTAGTAAATAAATTCGAACGATGCGCTCTCTGCGTGTGATCTTGGAACACAATACGCGTCGCGAAATATGTGACGAAGTTCGGCCGGGCATGGTCCCGAAAGTCCGCCGTATGCAGTGACGGTCGCGGCAAGAACGCTCGTCGTGGACACGCGATAGCCGTCCCTCCGAAAGCCATCACCGATGATATGCGCAGGCAGGGCAATGTTGAGGATAAGATGCGCGGGAAAATTGACATTACACGGCGATCAAACACCTACGAATCAATCCGCTCATATTCCGGGAGGAAGAAGAAGAAACCATACACACGAAGCAAAGGCAGTACTGAAACAGCAATGATACAGTTGCGAAGACCATTTCCAAAGCCTCAAACTCAAACCATATTCTTCGCAGCACACCAAATCTTAGGAGGAGATGGTGCAATTTACCGCTTCTTTGCCTTTGACTTGCTCTTTTTCCGGTCATCATCGTCCTCATCTTCCAATCCGCTCTCGCGATCCTTCCTCTTCGCCTTACGCTCGAGCTCATCCCAGTCCTCACCCTCCTCGTCATCCGAACCTTCGCCATCGTCCTCGTCGCTAGCTTCGGCGCTGGCGTCGTCGTCGAACTCGCTCTCATCTTCGGAGCTCTCATCGGACGCAAGATCCTCCTCACTGACTTCGAACGCGGATTCTTCCGATTCCTCGTCATCATCGTCATCGTCGCTCTCGGTCGAAAGGAAGGACCATCCTCCATCCTTGAAGAAACCGTGTGGGTCTGCGATGATGGTCTTCATGACGGTTGTCCAGTTGAGGTTTACGGGACCTTCTGAGAAAGGAATGTCCACGCTGTCCAGCCAGTCGCGAACACCATCAAGTGCCTCGACGGGAATGGTATTGATGTGCGCGGGAGGTACGGTGAAGTCTTTGAAGACAATGACCATGTCGAACTGCTTGAGACCAAATTGAACACGTTCCAGATGGACTGTCTCGATGTCGTTCAAAGTGATGACGGTGAACGGTGGCTCCGTCAGTTGAACCAGACAATCAGTAGTCGGCTGGATGGTGACGGAACTACGGCTGGGTACACCGTTGAAGCCGAGATCACGGAACGGCATGTCCACTGAGATACCCTCGGTCTTGCCAGCATCGGCAATCTTCTCAGCAAAGACCTTGAACTCCTTGTCGAGCTGCGCACGTCGGCGTTTCTCTTCTTGCTCTGCCTCGAATTCTTCTTCATCACCATACCTGTGCTTGCGCTTGCGGTTTCCAGTCTCATCGAACTGCATCTCTGTCGCTTCGCGGTAGAACTGGACATCCTTGGTTTTCTTCTTACCGATCATAATAGGATTGATAAGATGGACGTGAATGATGACAATGAGTTCACCAACACAGGGTTGGAAGAAAAGGTGCTTGACGTTGCTGAAGAGAATGTCGATCTTCTGACTGCCAAAATGATTGTATCGCAGACCATTTTGGTGGACTTCGACAGCACCTCCGATGCGCTTGCTCTCCATTGTCGGTCGCATAAAAACACCCTCGAGTCTGTGCGGACGACGGTTGCGGATCTCGACGAGCTTCTCCTGCTCCACGACATCTTCCATGTCTTTCTTCTCTTGCTCACGTCTGGCTGCGTTCTTCTTCATCTCGGTGATCTGGTCCTTGTTTGACTCCATGCGGTTGGTATCCTTGCTGCGGAAAGTTAACGACCGAATGAATTGCGCATGTGGATCTTCGAAAGGCTGGTCGTCCTTGCGACCAACACCTTGACCGGGAGATAGGAAATTGATACGGAGGTAGCAGAAACCACCTTCAGTACTCGTCGTCGCGTTTTTTATGGTGCTGATGTGGAAGGGCACAGGGCGGCCCATGATAGGCAAAATGATGGAGTTGTTCTTTTGGTCGACCAGGACTGTAAGATCCTTGATCTTCGGTGGCAATTGGCTGTCATACTTGTATGACTCGAAACGCTTGAACTTCTTCTCTTCTGTGCCGTTCAAGTTGCCGTGACCTTCTGTGTACTTGTCAAGGCCATCTCGGTGCTTGCGGTCGTGCAATTCTTTTTGATGCTTACGGCGCGTCGCCTCCTTTTCTTCATTTTGGGTCACTGCGCCTTGTCCTCGGAGGCGGGTCTTGGTGATGTTGGATGTGACAACGGCGCCGACTCGAGGGTCCTTCTTGGGTTTGGGCTTCTTCTCTTCCTCCTCTTCTTCATTGAAAAAGAATGATGCGCTCTCCATGTCGCGTGGTGCATCCTTGGTGAAGCAGAAGCCCTCAGCGCCAGAAGTGACGCGCACGGTGTCGCTGAGAACTAATGCGTAGGTAGCGCCCTTCTTGTCTGGTGGCGACGGGTTCTTTAAGTTGGAGAATCCAGTGGTGATGTAGAAGGTCATACCATCCTTCAATTGGCGTGTGTTCTTCGCATTGAGCACAAAAGACGTATCCTTCATCTCGATACCAACGCCAGCACCGACGTTCTTGACGAAGTTCTCGACCAATTCCGGCTTCTTGGCTTTGATCACACCGATGGCCTTGTTGAAGACGTCCTTGGCTGTCACGCCATCGCGCATCTCCTTGAGCACTGTTTCGTGAACTGAAAGTAGAAGCTTGTACATGGCCTCTTGGGTCTTGTTAGGCTCAACAAGATATGTTCGCGCGATCATCGAGTTGTAAGTCTCGTATCGGGTTCCGAATGCAGAGATGATGACACCGGGTTGGTGGAGATTGTTGTCGTCCGAATTGCTTGAGAACTTCAAGTCAAAGGCGCCGCCGCTTTGCACCACGGGCAAGACACTCCAGTCCAGCTGAGAGTGATCAAACTTTGCAATCTTCAGCCGATCGAAGAACTTCTCATCGTCAAGCTTATTCGTGACTCGTTCAGCTAGAGCTTTGTGTGTGATCTTCTTCTCCTTGTCCAGAATGTCGGACATTGTCTCCACGAAATAATCCTTCATGATGTATGCGGATGCTGTCGAGGCGTTACGGATCGCTTTCAGCTCGTTCTCGTCCTTGACAGACATCACAGCGGACAGCGCCGCGCTAATCTCCACCTCTTCCACATCTTTGCTCATCTCGCTGAAGTTGTCGCGCCACTCGGTGATGAAAGGCCCAACCGATGACTCCTTGACAACGCCGACCTTCTTTCCGGAGCTCTTGATTGCCTCCTTGATCTTCTCAAACTGCTTTGCATTCTCTTCGGCATCCTTTCCGCGCACGATAATCTCAAGCGGGATTTTGCCATCTTTCAGCGGTTCCAGTAAAGCCGCCTTCTTCTTTGTGGTGACGATGAACACATTGTCGGGCGTGAAAAGAAACAAAGTCGCAGGAAATTCGTAGCCAACCAGCCAGACGTGCAGGCCTGTCACTTTGTTAAAAGGGAGATCTTCTTGCTCATTTTTCCCCCAGGCAACCACAATGCTTCCAACGTCACCGAAAACGCTGTTGCCACTGCGCTTGTCGCCTTTCCAAAGATTGATAAGCGACGAGAGGCGATTGTGAAAGCTGGCCTTGTCAATGACAATCTCTTCGCCCGACATGGTCGCTGGCGTCCGTGAGTGTCACCACAGTGGAATTGATGGACGTCAAGTCACCGGTGATGATGGTGATCTTGATGAGTGTAAGTCAAGTCTCGTTCTCGAGCGATAGATAATTGAAGCTCCGAGAAGCGCGTCACGGTTGCGCGCTATAACTGCTCTTTGCGTCAGGCAGCAGACGTGAACACGCTTGTGAAGAGTTCATCCGCGAGTCATGTAAGTCATGTAAGGCGTCTCACGTGTAATTGCGCTAGTCCGTTTGGGAGAGGTACCGTACTTCACCTCACGCGGTGCAGCTCCGCCTTATAAATTGTCTTGTGACAGCTCTCGGAGCTATTTGGTGCTTCTTTTGGCGAGACTGGCTTTCATTTACGATATGAATTAGATTCAGAAACATAGACAAGACGGTGGAGATATGGGTGGCGTTGGAGATGCGTCCGTCCCGGACGGGGTGCAGTCGAAAGATCACGAGCGCGTTCAGACCGCGGCTTATCATCGTAAGAAGCGGAAAGAACATGCATCGACCGGCGCTACAGCAGCAACAATTCGAGCAGTCAGCGCTCAACTTCTGACCTTTTATTTTCGGGCGCCCGTCAAAGCGTTCTTTCGTCCTCGGATAGAGTAAGTACACACGAGTATCCGCATATTTCAAATAGTGTTCTGACGTGGAGATTAGTTACATGGTACGGCGTCGATTCGAGATTACTGAGGCTTGCCAGTAATAAAGATTGACTGACCAAATTATTAGGGATACGCTCGCGCAATTAATCCCAATTTCAAGGCTGGTCAAGCTTGGTCATGGCGGATGTCTTCGCCTGTATTACTTGCCAGTGCAATACATCGTCACGGCTGGAGTTTTGTGCCGAATCACATCTTACCCCCGTTGATGGCAAACACTGCCGTCGGTGCAGTTTTGTATACAGCATATCTTCAAACCTTGGGACACATGCATGAACCGTCCTCGCGTTCTACGAAGCGGGTATACCCACCTCCTGCACCAGAGACTGTCTTTGCTGCAGGATTTATCGCCGGTACGATTCAGAGCATTCTAGCTGCGCCTCTCGACGCTTTGCAGGTACGCTTTCAAGCTTCGGAAATGCTTAACGGAAAGTACAAGAACATGTGGCAGTATGGAGCTAGGAAGACTCGTGAGATTGGAGCTAGAGGCGTTTTTGCTGGATGGACGCTATCTTTTGTTCGCGATTCCTTTGGTGCCGGAGCATTCTTCACTGCATTCGAATTCGTCAAATCGCAGTGCTTCTACAGCTTTGTCAGCGGATTCTATGGCCAATTTGCCAAGCTATCTGAAGTTCAACAGGAATCTATTCAAGCTCAACGCCACCATCGTAACCGGCCTGAAATCAAGCCTCACTACATGCTTGAGCCGACGTTTCTTCTCCTTGCTGGGGCATCCGCGTCAGTAGCGCAAGCTCTGATTCACCATCCCATCAGCCGCATTCAGGAAATTCACTATGCGCGCCTCGAATGGATTGATACACATGCGCACTCTTCACAGACCGGCGGTTATCGACTTCAAGCTTTCCAGCTTTACACCGCTGCCTACAAAAAGACTTTTAAGGCATGCTTCGCCGTCGCTCGTAGAGAGGGCGGCTTGCGACGATTCCTTTACAAGAATTTTATTATGAATACACTCAGACAAGTACCGAGTACGAGTGCTGGCCTGATCGTCTTCGAGGTCCTAAGGCGAAAGTACGGTAACGACGACGATGCTGTCAGGATCCCCAAGAATGGCTACGAGATTGTGTTGCTATAGACCAAGACACCTTTGCGGAACTTTGTGCCCCTTTTATATTCATCCGCGGATGTGTTTCTAAATGTGTTCCGCGAACCAAACATGTCTGGTTCAAGGCCATGCTCACTGTTCTTCGCGCTCCACGGCCAGCTCGTGCGAGCGCTTTTTAGGCCTTCCTTCAGCGGCTTCCGGAAGAAAGTAGACGCCAACGTTGAGGAGTAGCGCAAGAATGATGAGCAGTATCCAGGCAAGGTGTCCATCCGCCCATCCAAGCTTGATGCCCGTGGCAAAAATGCTTGTGATGAATGCTGGGGCTATGGCACGAATGGCAGTGCCCACGGTGAGCGCGAGGGCATTGACCGTTGCCAGGACATGAGGAGATGGCGAAATGTCATTTAAGATGAGCTGTTGGCAACCTGGCGAAATCGATCAGCTTCAGATTCAATATACAGGCACACCATATTACTCACCAAAACTCATCGCTACGCCGCTGCCTAGTACGAGCAGTGGAATGCTCACATACCAAAACGCAATGCCAAGCCCATGTCGCAACATCTCATTCAGGATTGGATACACAGCCATGAAGCAAGGCCATGCGATACAAGCTATTCTCAGCAAATTCCCAGTGCCGAGTCGTTTTTGCAAAAATGGGAAACCGAATAGCATCCAGATCGCTTGACTAGCTCCTGCAGTGGCCAGAAATATGGTGATCTGCCATGGCTTGAAGCTTAATCCACCTTCACTGATATAGGTGTACATAAACACGGGGTTGACTGCTCAGTGTCAGCGAACGATCTGTGACAGCCACAATTCTACTCACCAGCCGTATAAGAGAGAGCCAGGAATCCTATGTGTGCAGAGATGTATAACACCACCGCAACACCCGGGGATTTGAGCACTTCCCAGGTGGACATGTATGTCTTTGACGATCCATCAGCTGTGGTGACTAACGTCTGCAGACCGGGAATTGTCAGCATAATCCACAGCAAAGCCGATCAAGCTCATATCTCACCTCTTTGAGATAGAGTGCTGCTGCGATAGTTGTCGATAAGCTAATGGTGCCAGCTACCAATGCGGGAAGCGCGTATGGGAAATCGATGAAGAACTGCACCTTTCCGATTGTTCCCGGAAATTGCTCAGAGGGATTCGCCAAAGCACCGCCTATTCGAAGTAGAATTTCCATATCAGCGACCACTGTCCTGTGGACTGTTTAAAGTGACTCACCAGCGATCGGCCCGATAAGAATGCCGATGTTCCTCGCGAACATGTACCAACTGAATGCGCGTCCCTGCGTTGACTTGTCACAATTCTCACTGACCATGGTCCGAATCGTCACGGCCGACCCCGAGAAAATCCCGGCAAACATGCGGAACATAATCATTTGCCACAGTGATGCGCTCAGCCCGAACAGTATCGTCGCGAAACTCACGCCCGCCAAGCTAAACACAAGCACCGGCTTTCTGCCCAACCGGTCCGCCATGCGTCCGTAAATGATCATCAACAACATTTGCACGAGAGAAAAGAGCGACTCGATCATTCCACTCCAGAACCCCACGTTAGCCTCGGGTATCTCGCCTGTTCGCTCGATCATCTCGTTGATGTACGGGAAGATGGAGAAATATGCCACCGGCTCGGCAAGGGAGGCGTAGCAGAGTAGCAGGATTTGAAAGGTCTGCATCGCCTTCGGGCTGCTGCTATCTTCATCTCCCTCGAGACCTGGTCCAACGTTTTCATTCTCGATGGCGGCTCCTGCAATTTGTGATGGTATCGGCTCCTCGATAGCTGCATTTCCGAGGAGAGGTGTGACTTCGCTGGGTCCCTCGGCCTCAGAGGCGACTTTAAGAATATTTGCCATGATGGGCGATTAATTCACCCGCTCCAGCGGCTGTCTCAACTCGAATCTAGACTCTGTCCTCCGATACCTGTTTATAACTTGGATCTATAAGAATAGTAAATGCTGAACCGATCCCTCTTGTTGTTTGATCGCGTGTCCAAAAACCGAGCATGACATTCATAAGCTGAAGTCGGTGTTGGTGATAGGAAGCCCTGTATTAGCGGGAATCGGCTTTCCGCAGATAAGCACTAATTCCGAATTAAGCATTGCGGTGTCTTTCCTCCGCACAATGTCGTGCGGCCAATTATCCCTCAACATGACTGCATTCGTGGCTCTCGTTGGTCATTCTACACGGAAGCTATCGTATAAGTCACCAAAGCCTTGAAAAGTACTAATGAAGAATTTTAGACATTCTTCAGGGAGAAAAAGACCCCAATGCGCGTCTTCTGCTGCATCAGGGTGAGGGTAGTTCACCGGTCGATCGCGTGCGCGCACGAATCGCGCGTCGGCCTACTAATGATTGCCCACCGGTGGAGACCTCAACAGGGATCGCCGCACGTGCATGTGCGTTTGGTCCGAGCTAGGGGTGCGGCCTCCGACAGCAATATCTTCACTCCTTGTCTCTATCTACAGAACTCCAGCAATCGCCGATATTGAGCGAGACGGGTGGCGTTCAACTCAATTTTGGGAAATCCTCTTGGCAGCGCTTGCATGCAAGTGGCTTATTTCCGCCGCTTCACGATATGAGAGGTTGACTTTGATTCGAGCTGTCGTGCCGATTCATCCTTGCATTTGCAGCATGTAGTGGCTGAAGGATTCGGCCACCCACCTTATGTAGCGGTACAAGTACAAGGCCTCTGGCCTTGCCGTGCGGCTGGCCATCGCCACTTCGCAAACATAATGTCTCTGACCGTCAGACCTACGATGCCTCCACGACTCGTGTGATGATCTTGTCGCTCGCCGGCAATTCTGATGTCTTTCGGCATCATCAGCGCCACGAGTCAGTTAAATTGTGCGAAGACGCGCAGTCATTCGGAACCTTCTCAACCCCATGGAGAAAGATCTTAGCAAAAAGCGGAGTTGCGAAGACCTTATAAGAAGATACGAGAACCTCCAAGCAGTGACAAAGATCGCTCCGAAGATCAACGACAACTCAGGGAATAGAATGTCTCGACGCTTTTCCGGCGAGTCGCTCCACGAAAATGGCCACGCGACTTTTCGTACAGTGGCTCATGACACGAATGAAATTGGCGATCAGAGCCAAATGAAAGCTATCATGCAAGCGCTTGACGAGAAATCTTTTGAACTCGCGGAGCGCCTCATCTCCAATGCGCCCCAGCTCAAAGTATTTAGGGATCATGCCGGTAAAAGTGCAATGATGTATCCACAGACCCTCGCCACCATCAGGCAGCTCGTTACCAAAAGCTCGAAAGACGAGGTGAATGCTGAAGACAAGAACGGCCAATCGGTACTCATGTGGGCACTACAACAAAATGACGAAGACGCCCAATGTGAAATAGCCAAGTATTTGATCGATCATGGCGCCAATGTCGACCATAAAGACAATGCTGAGCGGTCTTCGTTGACGTATGCGGTTTGGAAGAATCGGCTTCCGATCGTGAAAATTCTTGTTGGGAAAGGGGTCGATCCGAATGGCATAGATGCGCGCAAAAGAAATGCACTCCATCACTTGACTGCCGATATAACCCGTGCTCAGCATGGTAGTGATGAGGTAGGCGAGCAGATTCTGGAACAGCTTTTGAAAGCAAACGCAAACCCCAATGCTAGGGACTGGAACGGGCACACTTGCTTTTACTCGGCTTTGCGATCCGGAAATGTCTGGCTCGCAGAGGCTCTGCTGCGTCGTACACAAATCAAGGTCAACGCCGAGACAAAGGCGGGTTGGTCCATGCTTCACGCTGCCTGTGAACAGCCGTTGGCCAGTGTCGAACTTGTACGCAGCCTGATCGACATGGGTTGCGATGCCAATCAGAAGATTCCTCGCAGCGAGAAGACACCGTTGCATCTTGCCGCACACGCTGGGAATTTGGAAGTGGTCGAGTACCTACTTCAACGGCCAGAGATCGATCGCAATGCCTATGACAGTTTCGGCAACTCTCCACTCTTCTGTGCTTCTCTTCGGGACTCCGAGAAGCGCAGGGCTATTGGCAAGCTCTTCGCCCCTTGGCATCCAAGCAATATCATAGCTAAACAGCAGGATCCCAACTTTCACCACATTCAGGCCGCGGCAGAAAAATGGGAGGCGACGGTTGTAGATTTTGACATTTCGAATCCAGCGGGCAGCAGCGTGAAACAGTACCGGATATATGATCTGATTGAAAGGCCTCATCGCAAATTTCCAGGGGATCCTCATTTCTCGACGGTAATGTCTGACTGTGCGCCTGGATCCTTCCGGTGGATTCATCTTCCGGCGAACAATACAAGTTGGTGTAGAGATCTGATCCTGAAATGCTTCATTGAGACGGGCTGCAAAGACGTCTATGGGTTCAGGAATATCGAGAGATCGTTGAATCATCAACATTGCGGCCAGTCGAAACACTTACATTCACGATATATGAACCCTTTGTGCGTACCTGTTTTCGCATCAGCCAGCAGCAAAGACAAGCTTGAACAATTCGCACCCATACCGGCGGCGGTACAACACACATGCTGCAAAGGGTGCATGCAAGAGAGGGTGGTAGGAAAGAACGATGAGGAGTGTGACTTTGATGCGATGATCAACCATCTCATCATGTTCATGCCCTATCTTCACTACGAGACATACTCTGATATGTGTGCGATGGAAACAAAGGTGGAGGAGGCTTTGATGGGCGATCCCTATGCAGGCGATGCTACGGCAGAGACTTCCCTCCTCCGTGCATATCTATCAACCGGGAACCAAACATTGCATATGCGCCGCACACTCGATCAATTCTTTTATCATAACATCGACACGAAAATCCGCAATCGCAACCAAGTTATTCATCGACACCAGAAGAAGGACAGAGCTTCCGTGAGGGAAGACCACAAAATCCTTATGGTTGATCAACTTTGGATGTGGGTCATCGAGAAGGACTTGATCATCACCAGCTTTCCTCGTGTACGAACGAATCCTTCTCGTGATCCCATGGACATTCTAGAGATCATTAAGGAAATGATCCGAACCAATATTGAAGATCCAATTGACAACGTGTATGAGCTGGCTTCTCTGATTGTCAGCCACGTTGGAGGAGCGCAAGATGGTCAGGGATATGGGCGAGATGCACTTCAGGTCCTGAACATTTTCGAATCTGAAGTCGGAGCAGCAATGGACGTTGAGGTCAAACTCTTTCATGCCTTCCAAGACGATGCTAACAGGGCAGCCGATTGGCTCAGCAAAGCCACATCTTCAGAAAGAAAGACCCAGGAGACCAAACCCGAGGATGATATCTGGGAAGAACCTAAAGATCCCGAGGTCGTTGAAGTCAGGCAAAGTTTCTTTGGAAGTCTTCTGGATATTAGTACCGAGACTAATCTCTTGAAAGAGGTCAAGGACATCCGCGATGAGCTCGGCATGCTGAAGCTGCTTTTCACCATACAGAAACAAGTTGTTCCAGGATTCCAGAAAGCTTTGAAGTCCGTGTCTAGAAAACAGACTCAGTGGAAGCGACTCGCTCAACATGTTGAAAACATTCCCGATGAACAAAAGAGATTGTATGAACACCCGCTGGAACATATCAACAGCATGGATGACCAAGCCAAGCTCATCTACCAATCAATCCGCGACCTGCTAGAATTGAAACAAAAGCACGTGAACGCCATCGAGGCCCACTATTCTCGCTTCCAGGCGGAAAGTACTGCCCAGCAAGGCAAGACACTGCTAGTTTTCACAATCGTCACAGTCATCTTCTTGCCTCTATCCTTCATAGCCGCAGTCATGACAATCAACATAGCAGAATTCCCGCGGAACGAGGCAGGATTCTTGGCTCTGCCTTGGGTTGCCGAGTACGTCTTTGGCGTCGGCATCCCGATTGCCATCATATGCGTCCTCGCCGCTCTCCTCGTCGGACCGCTGAAGAACCGAGTAGATCCCTTGTACAAAAGGGCGATGAAGGGATTCGGGCTGGACGAGCCTGCGCCGGCACCTCGCAATCCCCCCATTCCACGATCGAAAACCTTCGTAATTCAACCCACAGCATCTGCAATCGTGGCGCCGCCACCTTACGATATGCGTCGCCCCGGCACCGCAGTGATCCAGCCACCGACAATCTCCTTCAGATCGCCATCGCGCCAAAATACGGAGCGCAACAGCGGCACTGTGATCAAACCACCTGGGATCTCAATCGTACCACCGATGCGCCGCGGCTCGAATGGTGATATCAGGGACTTATGGGCGCCGCCATCACCTGGTCCAAACCTGCGCATTCCTCGACGCCCAACGATACTGGATCTCGAACGTGGTCCGATGTGACACCCTCTGGTCTCCAACCAGATGCATCTTATTATCTATAACAACTTTCTTGATTCCCGAATTCATTTCAGAGGTCGCAGCAGTCCCGCGGATATTTCTCAGAAGCGTGGTTTGGGAGAGAGAAAAGAAGAGCAAATCATACACAAAACAAACGATGATTATTTCAACAGCGTTGTGTTCATGTGCCCGAGTTCCCCGGAACAGGAAAGGCTACCCTCCGCCCATTTTCTGTTCCTTGTGTTCATCCTCATCCACCAGTCCCGCTGACGCGCGCGCCGGTAGATGTGGTACGATATCACAGTGTATAATGCCGCTGCCACCACCGTATATTTATCGTTCTATAAGTACGATATGGAGTTGATTTGAAACGGAACGGGGCAAAGAATCGTAAAATGTGTAGAGTTCCATATCATAATATTGCAAACAACGAAGGATAGATTAAAGAATCGCCCCACAAGGATTCCACACTCCCAATCATTGACAACAAGCGAGAGGTCACATTCCCCGAACAACGCCATATGAATGCAAATGCAACGCCCCCTTCATCAATCCCCGTCAATCCTGGTCACAAAACTCCCCTGTGAGTCTTCTTGGTGAGATCCAAATCTCGAGATCTTCTAATTCTCCTTTTTCACAATCTCATGCTTTCCGCTTTTCGTGTTGTCCACGTGTATTACCTCCATTCTCGCACTCTTTCTTCCCTCTCTGATGATGACCAAGTTCCTCTTTCCCGGATCCAATCTTCCCTGCACAATGACTGACATCCCCCAGACTCAATGACCAAGAACCCTTCAAACCCTCCTCGCCGCAAAAAGTCCCAGACCCAGACTAGTCTCCGTCTCTGTACCTCCCATGCCCGGTCCAGCAACAGGCGGAATAATCTCCCAAGTTTTGAGCGTGAAAGGGAGATATTTGGTCCCTGGCTGACCCGACGCGTTTCCTGTTGACGATGTCGTTGGTGTGGAGGAGCCCGGGAAAGCGCTGGCTGTAGAGGGAGACGATGGGGTGTTGTTGCTATTATTGGTGGAGGAGAAATAGGCGTCGGGACGGGTAAGGGTTAGGCTAGGAGGTTTATTGTTGTTGTTGCTGCTGCTGTTCGTGGAGGGAGATTGGAGGAAGTTTTGGTTTCTTCGCTGCTGTTGTTGATGCTGTTGGAGCATTTGATATTGCTGCTGTAGTTGCATGGAACCTGCGTTGGAACCGCTTCCAGCATTCCCGGAACCAGCAGATTGTCTTGCTTTGGCTGCTGGCGAGACCATTTTCTGCATAGCGCGCTGTTGTTGAGTAAGTTGCTGGAGCTGTTGCATTTGCATTTGTTGAATCTGCTGCTGCTGTTGCTGCGATTGCGCTGGACTGTTCTGAGGGAAAGAGAACGAAGCTGCTGAATTCGAAGACAAAGGCGAGGAGATGCCCGCACCGCTGTTGCTGTTCGCGCCAAAGGTGGTGGACGTGTTGTTGCCGTTTGCGCCAGATGAAGAATTGGTACCCCCGGCAGGGGCAGGTACAGAGAGCACCAGGCCTGCGAAGCCCGTAGCGGGGGTGCCTGCTCCGTTAAGACTGTTGTCGAGATCCGGGCTCAGGAGTACTCTTATCATGGGATCCGCACGAGCGATGGGCGGAAGCATTCTGGGCACCGTGGCGAGGAGGTTCTCGGGAAGGTTGTCGGAGAGGAAAGTCGCGACATCCAGCAGCGATTCTTGAAGGTCACTCCGAGTGTCCTTAATACTTCCTGGGTCAACCAAGGGTACATCGCTGTTCTCCTTGACATCGATGTCAGGCGTGGTCATTGCCCCATTGCGGAGGGTGAGGTCCTGCAAGAGGTGCTCAGTCGTAGTAGTCACAGAAGGCGAGTCGGAGCCAGATGCAGCAGTAGCAACACACCTGTCCGATGTCGTCGAACCAAGATTTGGCAGGTTGCGCAAACGCGGCAGCAGGGAACATAGGGCAGCCAAAAGATCTCGGTACGCAATGAGAATAGGCGGATGTTGCGCGCTCGTCGAGTCATTGTCGTCTCCCGTATTAGTCGGCGTGCCAATCGTTCCAGCTCCAGCCGCGCTTGTCATGGTTGCGGTTTTCGCTAGAGGATCGTTACTGACAGCGCCGCCGTTACCAATCTCGTTGTTCGAGTTCGCAGCAGGCGAATACAACACGCTGAGATGCGAGATGATCGCAAGGCTATTGCGAATATTGTGCTGCTGCCGCTGTTGCTGCTGTATCTGCAGGGCATCCAAAGCCATATGCGAATTCCTTGTCGAGATCAACAATGCCTCCAGCTCATGCAATTTGCCCACCATCACAGCAACCGTCGTAGTAAGGCCCTCCGACGTCTCAGGTCCATATTCGTGATATGCAACATCGAGGGTTTCCAACATACGGGCAAGATCTCTGGGCGTCGAATCGCCCGGATCAGCTACCAGCGCAAACGTACGTTCCGCCGCCCACTCATAAATCCTGCGCGCGGTCGTAGTACCCGCACACTGTAGGAGCTGAGGCCAGACATCTGACCCGGCACGGACCGCATCGATGATCGCGGATTGAATGCGCTGAGAGACGCTTCCGTCAGAGAGAGCTGTGTCGGCAGCTGTGGTTGCGTCGGCGGAGTCCATTGACGCTTGCAGTAGAGCTAAGAATTCTGCGGAGAAAGTAATCGACAGAGATGAAGCCGAACGGACTATGTTTTCTGGTTGTAGCACCAATTCGCTGGTGGTGACGGAAGAGCAAATCTTTGGCTGCAATATTGCCTTCAATAATGTGGAGTATTGCTTCTGTGCAAGAGGTGACATGTTCCTTATCTTTGTACGCTCTTTCGCCACCCCGTAAGCATCATTGATCGATGCATTGGCCGGCATTACGACAGAGCCACATTCTAGCATGAAATCGCGTATTGACGAAGACTCATACTGGTAAGGACTCGCCTTGCCCACGAATTCAGGGCTTGCGGTGGCCGCAATGATGATTGCCAGCAGCCGTGATCGGAAGGCCCCGCGGTAGCGTTTGGACAAAAGACGAAAGCGGTAGGTCTCTGTGACAGTCAGCGGAAATGCCGTCGATGCACTGTTCTCGCGAGAAACCAATAACTTCACTGCGATGTTGGCCGCATTCGCGTCAAAATCGGTCGAAGTTTGCAACAGTGGCGCGGCCGCGGTTGTTGTAGACGCAGGTAGATTTGGTGGAGATATTTGCAGCAGTCGATCTATCAGAGAGGACAAACTCGTGCACCCACTAACAACGAGCGCATTCGCGACGCGTAGAAATTGTTCCGATGAGGCAGGCTTTGTCGCGTGACTCTGCACGAATTCGTTGACGATGGAATCAAAGGTCGATGAATTTGAGTGGCGGAGTTGGAGAAGCCAGTTGCACAACTTGCTCGGCTGGGCCAATGGCGGGTCAAGGATGTACTTTTGGTGCAGGTTCTTCGGCGTCTTCGATATTTCAACAGGGCTGTTCGCTTGAATCGCTTCCGATTCAGGCGATGCTTTGAGTGCAGCACATGCCGCGATCCGCACGAAGACGCGTTTCATCAGAGCATCGTCCATACTGTTTCCACTCGCGAAGACAGCGTCAATGTCTGCAGCCAGATTCGCTGCGCTGCCTGCTCCGGTCTGACCGGCTTCGATTCCTCGTGCTTGGGCAGCTTTCTGATTGACGTTGGCAACGCTGAGCAGATTGTCTGATGCGGGGGAGCAAACTGCAGAAGCACTTGATAGCCCAGCCTGTACCGTAGCGGATACTCCTGCAGCCATAGCGACAGCTGTCAAGGCGGCAGAGCCTGCACCTCCAGCCTCACACAGGGCAAAGTCGGAAAGCAGCAATGCGTGTGCGGCATGCAGTTCTCTCCTCGTGGCTTCCTGGCCTTTGCTTCCACCGTCGGTCGTCAGGTCTTTCAATAGTCCCACCATTGCTATCACCAGCGTTCGGTTCAGCGGCTGCGAGGCACGTAATGTTCTGTAACGTATGATCAGCGCTTCGACGAGCGGTTTCAGCTGTCCGAGCGCTGCGAAGGCACTAGCATGCAATGAGACTGTGTCTACGATGGTGGCGAGAAAGCCAGGGCTGATGCTTTTCGAAGGGATCAGCGTATGAAGGAGCCCGCCAAGGGTGCGAAGGTCGAGGCAGGATTCAAGGACTTGACAGACTACCAGGAATCTCCAGAGATGCTCGTCGGAGTTGTCGTGAACCTTATTGATATTGTAGACTTGAGCGACGATGCTGGTTGCGATGGCGAGGCGGGCAGGACCAGGCGGGAGTTCAATGGAGATGTTTTGGTGGTCAGCCTGGCTGAGATGACTCTTGAGCGCGGCTTCGATGTCACAAGGCTGTGCAATAGTAAATGCTTCGCTCGACATATTCTGCAACAGCCTTCTGAGTAGCATTTGATGTGTCCCAGCTAGATTCGTCGGTAAAACATCCTTCGACAAAGCTGTGAGCAGCCCAGTTGCTAGAGTCAAATCGTCTTCTCCGCCGCTTTGATCCCGGGTTCGGTTCAACACTCCGTTGCTGAGGATCCATTGAAGATAGGCGCCCACCCCGAAGAGGCCGTCCTTAACCAATTCTATCACGACTCTCCAGACATTTACTGTGATCATCATGCTCGTCTCCTCTGGCGTACGCTCGGTGCGGAGGTAAACCAAGATGGCAGCGTCGGTATCAAGTCCTGCGCGACGTAACATTGCGATGAATCGATATGTGACGAAAATCCTGGTCAGACCTGTACGACAAGCTGAAGCGGTCCAATCCAGCAATGAGCGGACAAGGAGAGGAATATCACCACCTAAACACGCGCAGTATTGCGGTAGTAGTACAACGAAGTCGGGTTCGATCGGAAGACTGTCGAGGTGTGTGTAGAGCTTCAGTAATGCACAGCGAGTGTTCGTCGCGGTCTTGGTAAGTGGCGAAGAAAGGCGTTGGTTGCGAAGAACGAGGTTTCGGAAGCCCGGAAATGATGCTAGTAATTGATGATAGCTCGGCCATGCCCGCGGGATTATCAGGCAACTACCGCCGCGACCTGCTCCGAGTGATGTGATCAAGGTCTTCAGCCGCGTCCGAAGTGGCTCAAACATCGCAGCAGTAGCAGGCACTGTCACAGCCTCGATGCGACGCAGGTTCTCCAATAGAGCATGTGCCAATTTTCGTCCTCGGCGACCACGCAAAATAATATCCTTCCAGTATAATTGAACAAGCAGTATCCAAATCGGGAGGCGGTTCATGGACGTCGCAGGTGAGAGACTGTCATCAGGGTGGAGTGATGTGACCAGCCAGTCGAGTAAGACTTCCCGCTCGACCAGTCGCTCCGCATAGAAACTCGCAGTCAGCCTTACCGCATAGTCCATTCGAGCTTTCCAGTCTGCTGTTTGCCCACAGGTCGAGATGACACTCTCAAGAAACTGCAGCACATGTAGAGTCCATTCTCGAACCCATTTGAGCTCGCCGGAGATAACAGCAGCTGTAGCCGCAGCAGGTCCGTTCCCGACACCTTTACGGCGAAAGGCACGCAATTCGTTGGCACCAACGCACTTTGCAAGCCAGACCGCTCGGGCGAGAGGTATGTTTTTGGCGGCACACTGCTCCATCAATAGCTTGCCTCGAATTCCATAAGGAATATTTCGGGCCTGCTTGCGCAACGGGACCGCCGGATTGGCCAGGTCGCGCAGCCAAGCTTCTCGTTTAGAATCAGTGATAGTGACACGTGGAGGAGGCTTGAACGCCGAAGGGGCGGTATGCCTGCCCAACTGTTGACGTTTCTCCATGGCGCTCGCGAAGACCGTTGAGAGCATACTGAGCGCTACACTGTTCTTCTGAGTCAATCCTGGCCAAATGATGGAACAGGCCGATGTGGTCTCTGTCGCATTTGGCCCAGGAGCTTTATCGAAATATCCATTCCTGATGACGGTCTCGTTCAGGTTATCTTCCGGTTGACGACCAGTCCAAGGGGAGAAGTCGGCCACGAGTTTAGCAGTCGGAATGCGAGTAGCCATAGTCGGAGGTGTCAAATCGAGGGCCTGACGGCTCTTCAACGTCTTTGCGCCGCGATTGACATGGACGTTCTTGTTCATTGTCAAACTCGACGATTTCGACATCTGAGGTAGAGGTGAGCCGGCGATGATTTTGTGTGGTGTGTCTGACTCCTCTTCTTCGCCCTCATCTTGGCAAATTATCACTCCTAGGTGGACGTTATCCTCGTCGAGCTTAACTCGTTTCGCTGGCCTGTCCACCTCACCATCTTCCTCGTCTTCCGATTTTAGTACATCCGGAGAGTCGTATATGGGTGATGCATTTTGTGGAATGATCAAAGCCGACGGCTTCACTCCTCGGGCATGATCGGAAGCCGGAATGAAGTCGGTCGGGAGCGTGGGATGTGATGCTGAGCGGACATTGCTCAGGCGGGACGGATGAGGTGGCCGCCATGTGTCCTGCTGATTTTGCAGCTGCTGGTGATGCAAGAGCGGTTGTGAGTACGCATGGGCAGTATACGGGCTGGCCGTCACGATGCGGCGAGGAGCTGGGATGGGCGGCGGTAATGGGAGTCCTGGCGGTCGTGGAGGGATCGGTGCTCGAAGGGTAGTGCCCGGCTGGGATCGGTGATGCATCGCACGGATGAACGATACACACTCTGGTGGAGCATCTTCAGAAGATCTGAGGTGCGATTATGTCGTCATGAGAGTACCTCCAGCATGGCGGCGAACAGCGCAAGAGACGATAGTTAGGTTGGTGGGGAGTGTGGTCGAAGTCCAAAGATCAGCAGCAGTAGCGATGTTGTTGTTGTCGTTGCTGACTAGCACAGGCGTGATAGGACAACTAAGTGGAGGTAGACAAGTGTGCCGGTAAACGGATGTGTATCTCTGGGATGACGATCCTTCGGGGGTAGTACGACAGCCGTGGTCGATGCGGACAATATGCAGCTGATCCCGGATGCACGGATCGGAGATAGGAAAGGATGCAAGCGACTGCAGTGGCAGCGGGCGTGGCGGTGGTAGTAGTGCTGGTGGATGTATGCGATCGTTTATAATCGAACAACTTGGCCGGGATGGTAAGAAGTGATCGTATTTGAGATGTTGTCAGAAGTCGGAGGATTAGTACAGAGTAGTGTGATGTGTAGTGTGCTTCTTAGCGACCGGGGCGAGTCGCGCGCAGCGGTGACGACGATAACGGCGGCGGTGACGATGCCGAAATGGCAAATGATATGAAGGCACAAATACGCCGGCACGCCGGTAACACTGCGCTGTATCTATGGGGGTGTCGGATGTGTGATGATAGTAACAAATAATGAATTACAATCAGAATTGATGGGAAAGAGGTCTAGCGGGTCATCGGCACCTGAAACCTTGAGATAAAACGTCGCCGCCCTTTCCCTGTTTCGTTCTTCACGGACGGTACAAGCGACGCAGGTGGATGACATGTGCATGCAAACGAGCTGGAGGGATGTTGAACCATGAAGTCGGCGAGGAATCAAGGATGGACGGGGTGGGCGGTGACAATGGATGGTTCCTTCTTTGCTGCCACCTCCCGCCCACAATTGCCCGAGGATTGATGATTGGTTGGCTGGGCGCGGAGATCTGAGGTCAGCCGGAACGACGTGTTCTAGTGCCTGCTGAACGCAACCAGATTTCATTTCATTATCAAATATGATCGGTACTCCACCTGCATCGAGGCATTGCACACTGTGGGTAATACAATGTGTATCTCTTCCAGTATCATGCATTGCTTTAGTTACATGATACAGGCGATGATCTGTCTGACTGAAAGAGGAGAGAGATACATATACAGAGTCACCAGTGGGTGGAGAGAGAGAAGCGGAGAGGAGAGGAGGAAATGGCAGATCACGACCTCCGCACCCCCGATTCGGCCGATGCAGGTCTTCTCTTTCTCTCCGCGGTGTCAACCGTTGCCACCACAGATAACGCACAGGAATTCTCGGGCGAACGCGTGCGTAGTCAAGATAGGTAGACAATGATTGATGTCGCCATGTGTCGTCTTGCTGTGCTTGCTCAGGCCGAATATGGTCCGAGAAGGACTTCTTAATCTTACACGCGTTACACATGTCCTATGTAAACTGTCCCACGGGCATACATTATTAAAGAAAGGTCCTCTCTCCCCGAAATACATGTGATAACGATGCACAGAAACCCACATTTCCAACCAGACATATCCCTTGGAATGCGCCGGTTCCTCACACCTTGCCTCAAGACTGCTGCGCATGCTGCAGCATCGTGGCTACTATACATTGATTTCTTATCGTCGTGTTCAGCGAACGCACGGCGTGATGAAGATGATCAGGCGAACCATGCCAAGATCCATACGCCATGATCCTTGGAAAGGCGTGGGGACCAAACAGTAAGGTATCTAGGTATTTATCATCAGGCGGACACAAAAGGCCCACTCGGGCAGCCAGCCGGCCGGTCCTCCTCCACATTCTGGACACCACGCCCGCGGCCCTTTTGGTGATGTGTAATCCGATGCGTGCGACCACCGTGTTACAAGGGATTGATTGACACACGTAATTCTCTCCCTGGCTGCTGAGGATAAGATACGCCTTCATGCCAAATCATTCACTCAAAACACGTCTCCGCACGCGCCCGGCGCGGATTGAACGACTTCCCGTCCTCCGAGCGCGTTGAACAAGAAGCGCTACGGGCGGGTCCATCGGGTCTCGGATCTCGGCGCCGATACCTGCCTGCCTTTTTGGTTGGAATGTACATTCATTATTGCGTAAATCGTGTCGGAGGGTTCTTCATCTTGGAGGCGTTCTTCATAAGGTGAATAGGTCTTCACATGTTGAGCAATCCTCACGGGTTGGCCGGCAGCAGTTTGTAACGACGACTTTTCACGCATCTATAGATATGCAGTAGTCAGATGGATTGTACATGATCCAGTTCCGTGTACTGTTATGAATAGTTTCTGGCTGTGAATTCATATCATCCTATTGCAAATCCTTTGTTAAAATGTTTCGAGCCCCGTAGTTCAATCTGTTGTCGTACTGCAGACCGGAACCTCCCTGCAGGAGAGTCGGACTCGAATGCAAGGGCTTCCAAATATATTGTATGCAGGAGTTCCATTGTCAGCTGGGAAGGCGTACGATTCGGGCTTACTTTTGCACCGGTGCCACGGATAGTACGGCATGTAAGCATTACGGCTGATGAGACCGCCTTAAACGTCGTTAACAACGATGTGGAGTTTGATACAGTAATAACCTAGCATACGAATGCCTGCAATTGATGTTCGAGCAACTCGTCGTTGTGTGCCGAACAGTGGTAACCCTAAGCCTGATGGGGCTGTCGATGGCGCGAACCAAAGCGCCGAGCCTGGTCGGGGAGCCATTGAGATGTCTTTGTGAGTGAGCGTCTCCGGGGCAGAATCCAATCATCTCACCGCCCCTCCAACTCCTTCATAAAGCAATGCGAAAACTCAAAGATTTGGCAATTCTATCTGCGCAGAGGTTGCTTTCGGATGACGACAGGGCCATGTCGCTGCGTGAAGGAGATACTTGTGACGACACCATGATTGGATGCAGGCGTGCATTTGTGGCGCTGCGGCCAAGCTCAGCCGCAGCAAGCTCATCTCATATGCACCGGTCAACAGGAGCGCAACGACCTCCGACGGATGGCGAGCTGTGTCGCAGAACTTTGAGAGATGACAGCAACATTCTTTCACATCGCGCAGAACTAGTTTGAGCATTGAAACGGAGATGGCTTCGGCCTCCGCGCAGACCTCGAGAGGGGTCCGCCTGTTACAAGTCTATCCTGACAGTGACGAGGTGGAAACGGATATAGATATCATCGCCGTTCATGGTCTTGACACCAAGTCGCCCGACACATGGACATGGAAATCGCCGCGCTCGACTCAAACCGAGTCATCAGCCAGTGATGACCACAAATCTCGAGATGTCAATTGGCTCAAATATTTACACATGTTGCCATCTGTGGTTGGACGTGCCAGAATATTTACGTGTGATTGGCCTGCCGAGTTGTTCCAGCCAGGAAACTTGGTGCAGAGCACCATTGATGAGATCGCCCTGGGTCTTTTGGACGGCATTCACAGGCGATCTCCGACCAAGAACAAGGCCAGAGATGATCGTCCCATCATATTTATAGCTTCCTGTCTCGGAGGCATCATATTGACCAAGGCGCTTGTGGATGCTGACGGTCAACGAAGCGACTACCACCATGTTAGAAAAGCCACACGTGGCGCCATCTTCCTTGCTACTCCATTTGAGGGTACATCGTTTGAAAAGGTTGCCTTGTGGGCAGAACCTGGACTTAAATCGTGGGCTTTGCTCCGGGGCCAGCAATTGAACCCACTCTTGAAAATGGCGAGAAGTCCAGATTTCGACCTCAACAAACTCATGAGACAATTTACACAACTCGACAAGGATCCCGACTTTCACATCTTCACATTCTATGAAACCCGCACGACTAGTCTTCCAAGAAAGTTATTTCCACAGCTTCCCGCCGCATGGAGCCAAGAAGAAGTGGTAGGTTTCATGCAGCATATTCTGTCCAGTCTAGCTCAGCTCATGATCAATAGTTGGTCGACTTTCGTTCCGCAAACCCACTGATCGTAGGATTCCCGTTGCCTCTCGACCGACCTCACGTCTTAACCAACAAATTGGAAAATCCAGGATGCCCTGATTATCAGAAGGTTGCTGGCAAGGTCCAGGATTTTCTTCAGATTATTCGTGAAGGGAGTCCGCTGCAACAAGCTGAGAAATGGATATATGAAAATCACTACACCGAGGCAAAGCTACAAATTGAGCGAGTTTCTGGCGAGCTATTGTCAATGGAGCAGTGCTACATTAATCTTGCCATGATCGAGCAACGGAATTCCCAAAGCAATCTAGCAGGCAGTGCATCAACGGAGTCGGCTTTCTCACTCAGCCAGCGCCTGAAAGTAGAGACACCGGATAAAGCAGTGCAGGTCGAATTGAATGAGATATTCAGGCCACGCGGGGGATCCAAGAATAAATTGATCCCCAGACGTATCCTGATCAGAGGTCGTGCTGGTGTTGGCAAGACTACATTGTGCAAGAAAATCGTCTTCGAGTGTACGCGGCACGCCATGTGGAAGGCTCTGTTCGACCGCGTGCTCTGGGTGCGTCTTCGGAAACTGAAGATACTTGATGGAAAGGTTCACAATCTGGAGAGCTTATTCTTCTATGAGTACTTCTCCCACGATGAAGATGACGGGAGACTGCTTGCCCGAGTGCTAGCAAAAGCAATCCCGAATGGCAGAACTCTTTTCATCCTCGATGGTCTGGACGAAGTTTCTGGTCTTCTTGGCCAGGAAACACTACTCTCCGATTTTCTTGCAAGGCTGCTGAGTCAAAGGAACATTATCGTCACCTCTCGGCCCCACATCAGCCTCCGATCAGCTCTGGTTCCTGACCTAGAGCTAGAGACTATCGGATTCTATCCTGGTCAAGTGGATGAGTACCTCAAGAAGACGTTCCCCGACAAACCCGAGACTTCTAACCAGATCAAATCCTTCCTCCAAGATCACACACTTGTACAAGATCTTGTTCGTATCCCCGTTCAGCTCGACGCTCTTTGCTATGTCTGGGACGAAGATCGTGGCCTTGCCGCAAACCTCACTACCATGACCGGAATTTACAGAGCGATCGAGCAACGATTATGGATGAAGGATGTTCTGCGCTTGAGCAAAGCCCACGATGGAGCGTCCTTGACAAAGTCGGAGATTGAATCTTGCGGTCGTCAAGGTGTCGAAGCTTTCGTAGCTGGCGAGATCTCTGTTCTCGAAAGACTAGCCTTCGCGGGGCTTCACAATGATTCCATCGAATTCGCTCCGGCAACACAGCAAGCAGCTTTTCGCCCCTTCACACCGAAACTTATACCCGGCAAGACACTTCCCTGTATCTCCTTTCTTCGGACCTCCGGTTTAGGATCAGAGCCCGACCGAAACTACCACTTCCTACACCTGACGTACCAGGAGTATTTTGCCGCTCGATACTTCGTCCGGCAATGGCTGGAAAGTCCTTCATCGACCTTGGTCCTCGGTTTTCAAGATAGCAATAGTCCTAGCATCATAGCAGTCCAGTATCTGCAAGAGTATAAGTACATGACCAGGTACAACATCTTTTGGCGCTTCGTTGCTGGTCTGCTGGACGCAGAAGGGAGAGCGGAAGAGTTCTTTGAGGCGATCGAGCAAGAGCCGCGCGATATGCTTGGGCGAATGCACCAGCGTCTCGTCATACACTTACTGAGTGAGGTGACAGAACCGCCTCACCAAGCTATACAAACGTCCAGACCTGCATCATGGCAGATAAAGCTCGAGAATCACTTCGTGGACTGGCTTTTCTGGGAATGCAGAAACTATCGCTTCCCCCACGGTGTCTCCATGATCAGGGAATCAGAGCTTTCCTCACGAGTGCTACTCGCCGTGCTACAAGACACTCGACTCAGAGACACTGACATCATGTGGACGTGTATGCGTGGCATCCAAGAACGAGAGCGAATGCCATCTCAAGTAATTAATCTTCTCTCATCCTGGCTGACGCTCGATTCGATGGCCGAGTACGCGTTGAACGCGCTTGAAAGTCAGAGCATGCTGCCAAAAGCGATCATCTCGCAGGTTGTTGCTCGAATGCATGCTGGCGAGAGTGAAACTAGGGCTGCCGCCATGCGCGTTCTATACCAACAAGACGTGCTTTCCGAGGAAGTTCTATTGCGAGTAGTCGCACAGATTGAAGATGAAGATTGGGAGGTACAGGAAGCGTTGGCAAACATCCTTGATCTTCAGCGAAATTTACCAGAGACTTTGCTCGGATATATAGTTACGCGGCTTGAAGACAAATCTTACGTAGTCCGAGAGACTGTAGTGGGAGCTCTCAAAGCTCAAAAATTATTATCACATGACATCCTCGAGAAAATAGTTGCACGGCTTGAGGATGAATCTGACTTGGTCCGGCAGGAGGCAGTATGGACTCTCGACGCTCAAAAACCACTATCAGATACTATTTCCAGACAAATAGTCGCTCGTCTTGGAGATGAAAATCCCTACGTCCGGAACACGGTGGAAAGTGTTCTCGCCGCTCGAAATGCGCTACCAGAGGCTTTTCTATTGGACATGGCTGCGAAACTTGAAGATGATGATGAGATAGTCCGCACGGCGGCGATGAAAAAGCTCAGAAAACAGGAAGTTCTGCCAGATAAAATCGTATCTCAGACTACCGCCCGACTGAAAAATTGCAGGCCAGAAGTCCAGACATGCGCGATAAAGGTTCTCGCTGGTCAGACAGCGCTACCAGAGGCATCTTTGCTGCAGGTTGCCACACTGCTTCAACACGAAGCAATTATAGTCCGTATAGAAGCGATCAAAATGCTCAGCGCTCGGACAGCACTGCCGGAGAGGATTTCAACGCACATAGTCGCGCTGCTCGAAGATGAGCATGTTTTAGTCCGAGTGCAGGTTCTAGAGGCCCTCAGTAAAAGAGAGCAGCTGTCTCAAGCGACAGTTTCGCGAATATTAGACAGACTACAGGACAGAGAAGCAGTGGTCCGAATAGCCGTCATGCAGACCCTCCGCAGCACCAAGGCACTATATTCCGATTATTCTCGATCGCAGATAGCGGCGCAAGTTGAAAGGGTCAAAGGGTCAAAGTCATTTGTCTCAGACATCGTGGCGCAGCTCAGAGGAACGGATCCCAAAAACAAACTCGCCGCCCTTGAAGCACTCGCGGATGAATCGAAGTTGCCCGAACCAATTCTGGTGCACATAGCGGCTTGTCTCGACGAATTCAAAAGTGAGATTCAGTCGGCCCCAGGGGAAGCGCTCTCTCGGCAGGCTGCATTGTCGGAAGTGGTTCTGACGGAGATTGCGAAGCACTTCGATAACAGCGATGATCGTGTTCGTCAGCATGCGCTTGCCGCGGTCGAAGGCCGAACATATCTACCTCGCGCTGTTGTATCGCAAGTAGCTGCGCGGCTCGAAGACAGCGACCGCGTGGCCCGATGGATCGCTTTCAATATCCTTATTCATCAAGCGACATTGACCGGAAGAGACATAATGCCCCACGTCAAATCATTGTATCGGGAATTTGTCGATAACAGATTGTACAATATCTGTTGGATTACGACACCTTCGGAATCTTATCTTCAGACTGGCCAGAAACGAATTCCAATCTATGATTGGGAGTCGCAAATGGACATCAAAGTTCGGGAGATTGTAGCCGAGCTAGAGATTCCTCAGCTGAAGAGTGTAAGTCCAATCGTCCATGATATCGAAGCTTGAACTGATATCTGTTGCAGAAGCAATGGCGGATAGTTCAGGAAGTGGAGGACGAGTCAACGGTACGAAGAGTAACTGAAAGGACGACGGAGAGCGTCTCGTCAGACTCCGAATTATCAAATACGATACAACAGCAAATGCAACAGACGAAAGAGAGCATCTCAACTCGCTCTAAATTATCGACCTTCAGGGCGTTGTTCCGCAAGGCGAGGAATCAAAGCTGAAGCAAACATTCCTTGACACGGAGACTTCCGTCGAGCAGCAATAACGACGGTCGAAAGAATGCCTTAAAAATCAAGCTTTGAGGTAGATAAGCACAACAGATCAGTCTCGGCAGACCAAGAGCACTCGGGCGATGGAAGTTCCTCTCGAAAATCATTGCGCCGCTCATAAATGAATATTTCGGATTTTCAGTGGACCAGCGCCGTGAAGTCTTTTACTCGCCCAGGCTCTCAATCTTCGGCATAGCGAGACAATCTACACGAAAACATATGTGACAGCCTGAGAATTGGTGACTGCATTTGGTCTGTTCGACACTGCGTGTTAAGCTGTGATAATGATGATACTCACCGAATACTGTAGTCTTGCCTGGGACGTCGAAGGAACGCAGAGTATGACGTATCAAGGCGAAAGACCTATGGCGACCATTCCGGCAAAAGTGAAAAAGTACACAGCAAGGATCACACGAGAGTTGCGACCGAAATGTGGAGCAATCTACTAAGATCTTGTCATATTGAATGCGCGGCAGTCTTTGATGAATACCCAGCGGAATGATGTCTGGATCGTTTGTTAGATCGAATCTCGAGGCAACCCTTGACCTTCGAAAGCTGTATTGTAACATGGAATGGATAAGAAAACTGTCCGTCATTTTGGCGCGCAACGTGCTCAGAGGTGTCTCGTTCGTTCTTTTGCTGCGAATTTGCTCCTTACGAGACCAGGGCACATGACTCCGCGTCACGCAGTCTCGGCTTGGCCCGCACCCTGCTTCCGGCATTGCACCTGGAACTTTACTGACAATGAACTTCTTTCCATCAAACATACACAACTTTGGTAAGACCACCTTATTTCCGATCATCGTTTTCCACAGTGATTGACATGACATAACTAGATTGTCAGACTCATCCTCGCCTCACCGATACCTCGATCTTTGCTAAAGCAATCGAGTAGTAGCCACGAGCACCGCCCGTCACCAACATCGAAACATTGCGAGCATCCTTGGAGAATACTAGAGTCTCACTATTCTGGTGAAAGAGATTGGCGTGTATTGAAGGACTCAGGGTTTGACTCGCAAGGGCATCTCTACTGTGCTTTTGTATTTCTACTTTTACCACTTTCGACGGTTCTACGATTTTTCATTGTGCTTGATTGTGCCAAAGGAAAGACGTCCTCACATCTGTACTCAATTTTGATTCCGGGAGATCAACCCATCCAAAGAAAAGTGGCGTTTTGCCATTCAAGGAAAGCGGCCATCGCTGATCCAAAATTGTACAATCGCTCCAGTCACTGCGGCTCTCTGTTCTCGCAGAGCTTGATCTGCGTCGTGTACATAAGCGAAGAACAAACTCTTCCCAACAAGGGACTATTTACTGTCTTCTGATCGCTTCTGCTCTCACGAACTTGACGTCACGCTCGGCAACCTGCCCGACTGGACGAACGGAAACGACGAACGCTATCATAGCTTGAATTCACGACACTTGCACAACCTTCACAATGGCCGAAGACGACACATTCGACATTGACATCTACGGCGATGACGCTCAAGACCAAGCACAGCAAAATAACCAAGATGGCGATGACTTGATCTTTGATGATGACGAACTCAATAACCCACAACCGGTGACGGACAAGCCATCAAATGCCAATGCAACACCACAGCAGCCACCAACAGCGCCCCAAGGCACAAAACGAAAAGCACAAGAGTATGAAGAAGAGTCGGGACAGGCGCAACAGATCTCAACACCGTCACAACCGAACAGTCTACAAAACTCCGCAACCGAGCCAGGAGCAATGCCCGCATTGCGACTGGCGGAATTACATTGGTGGACCACCGAAGAAGACGTGCGAGCCTTCTGTGCCCGTGCTGGTGTCGAAGGTGAGCTCCGTGAAATCACCTTTGGCGAACATAAGATCAACGGCAAGAGCCGAGGCGAGGCATATCTGGAATTTGCTTCTCCACGTGCCGCCAGTGCCACCAAAGCCGAGATTGAGCGCGTGAAGAACAACGACGGTGCGAAGAAAGACGGCTCAACTCCCACACCTGCCCAACGTGCCAATCCCTTCACTGTGACATATTGTGCTGTGAACAACCCCTTCAAGGGCCGCGATGGAGGCGCCGCCGGAAAGAAGGACTACAACAACAACAGCGGCGCATACAACAGCTCTAACACCAACAATGCGCGCGGCGGCTACAACAACAACTTCCAAAACCGAGGAGGATACAATAACACCCGCGGCGGCGGTTTCCAGAACAACCGGGGTGGCTTCCAGAACAACCGCGGCGGTTTCCAAAACCACACCAACCACACCAACGCCGGCATAAACCCCCAAGCGGCTGCCGGCGGCGTCGGCGCCTGGGGTGGCATGAATCCCATGGCCGCCATGAACGGCTTCAACCCCGCCATGAATCCTATGATGGGCATGATGAACAACATGGCAGCTGCCCAGCAAATGGGCGGATTCGCCAACATGATGGCCGCACAGCAACGCGGCGGCGCGGCGGGGATGATGGGTCGCGGCGCCGGAATGATGGGCCGTGGAGGTATGGGCATGGGCGGAATGATGAATGCTGGCGCGGGCGCTGGGAGAGGTGGGTGGGGTGCGTTCGGTGGTGCGGCGGGCTTCAACCCGGCCATGATGCAGCAGGGTGGGCAACAGCAGGGTCAGCAACAGCAGCAACAGGGTGCATTTGGGATGCAGCAGGGGCAGAACAAGAGGATGAAGTCGGAGTGAGGGGCGATTTGGAGGAGGTGTGGACGTGTGCTTTGTACTGATAGGAATGAGTGGTATGTGCGAAGTTTGCGATCTGAGCGGGCGATGAGAAGGAGAGAAGACCGCCGCCGAGAGTTTGATTTTGGGAGTTGTCTGCATTGATTGAAGATGACGAAAAATGTTTCTTTACTTCTGCTAGTGTCATTCTACGAGCTTTGTTTGTTCATTGCATCTGCCAACGACAATTCGGCATTAAGGCATGAGTTGTTACGACCCTGTTCGTGCGCGGTACGGCAATATTTTCTTTAAATTTTCCGCATCTGGCACAACAAAATTTACGGTATATCGTATTGTTGTATGATGTACACCTTTTCTGGCGTTTAGACCACCGATCAGGGCCCTGCGTTTGGACTGCGTGATTTTGCGTTGACGTAAGTTCATGTGCAAAGTCGCTTATATATCATGGGGTCTGCATTGATTGTGCATCGATTGCGGAGGCAGCAGAACGTAGAAGACGACAAAGAGGGAAGAGGTAATGTGAAGTGCGGCGAGAAACTTCTATACACAGGTATCGAGTGCGCAAAATTGATTGTGAGATTTTGCGAGCGAAGTGATTGTGAAAGGCAATGTGATATTTTGCAGCCCCAGATGCGCGAAGCATCTTTTGAATATAGGCATGAGATTTCAAGCCGGGTAATCATGTGAACCAAGGCGCGGCCTCCAATGAACTGGTGATGAATGCTCGCTGAGCGCCATGTCTCGCAGTAAGCTTCTCCTGCAAGTAGCGTTGGTCTTGACGACGGAACATCCGGGTAATGATATGTAGGGGAATCTTGCTCTCCTTCACAAGGAGGCGTGGTTCGGGAATCGCTGCGGAGCGTACAACGGTGGCAGAAAGGACAATTTCCTTGTCGTCATCCTTGGCGCGGAAAAAATGCGTTTCCTTGTCTTTCAGATACCAATTGTCGGCTGGGACAGTACAGGTCGAAAGACCGGTGAGTTGCCGCTCCACGTTAGTTTGCAGAAAATGTATCTGTCCCTGCCAGGACTGCGTAAGGTTGCGGCACCCGTGTCCACCCATTTGCAGGCAATTGGGAGTTATATAAGCAAAAGTGGCACATGAATCTGAGTCACGAAGGACTTTGAGCCAGAGATTGTTCCCCCTGGTCCGGAATGGAATCTGTAAAAGAGGCTCACTAGCATCAGTGGGCACGAATCCAAGCACGAAATCATCGCCTGTTGGCTGCAGACCTGTGAATTCTAACGATTTCACAAGCTCCAAAGCTAAGCTCCAAAAGCTTTCAAAGCAAGCAGGGTCAGATTCACTCATACGGCAGAACATAGCCTGGCAGACAGAAAAATCGTCAGACGATAGGTTCTGAATAACATCGTAATGGCCGACAAGTTTATGCCAAGACTCCGGCACAGCAGCTTGTCGATGAATAAATATCGGTAATAGATCAGCAAGGAGTTCTCGCATTGAGATTCTTCTTGCTAGCCCAGAGCAAAAGCTGACCTGCAGTCCACAGGAAGCGCTGAGAAATGCGTAGTACTCGATTCTTTTTTGAAGGTTGGCGATTAGCTGCACCTTTAGTGATATGCCCGGCACCTTGTTCATAGTGGAATTGTACACCACATTCACGTATTGTCCACCTTGCAGACCCATCTGTTTTTCCTGATGTCTCCAGAACGCGGGCCTAGTCCCGAGTTGCTGCCAGCGGCCCGCGGAGATGGCTAGGTAGTTAGCTTCGTCCATGGAGCAATTGACATTCACATCGATGTGTGCGCCAATGCGAATCTTGGTGAACCTGTTCCATCCCTCCTTGATGAGATCTTCACTGAAGTCCTCGAATTTTGTCCAATGGTATTCATCTCCGGGGCAACACGTGATTATACCACCCCTCAACGCCAGGGACGCGACACGTTCCGGTTTATCATCTCTCCAATGCGGCTGTAGGGTCATGGTCCCAGGCCCCCAGGTATCAATGAGATCGTCCACAGAAGCCAACACGTCGTAAGGTCCAATAGATCTGGAGTCCCATGGAAACCGCAGTTCGAAAGCTATCACACAGCTGCCTTCGAGCATCGAGCTTAAGCATGTAAGCTCCTCGACAGAGACAGATATGTGTGCGAGATAAGCGGTTGAGCGCTCACCGCAAAGTTTCATGCTGGAAAGCTGTTCTTCGAGAAAAAAGAGATCAAGACTCCCGCAATGACCCTGCAGGTAAGCAACGAATGCAACATTGAGGAGCTGAGTTACCAAAGCAATCGTGTGGAGTTCCCTCAATCCGAACATCGAAGAATAATAGATACTTCGTGAATCCCATTCTGCGAGGGGCTTAAGGATCTGCTGAGCAATCCCAGCACTGGTCTGATATGCTTGTTCGTCGTACACGGCATATTGTGAGGAGCGACGAATATCGATATTGAACTGCTGCTTCAGCCGAATCACATCTTCGATGCTGATTGTGCATAATTCCAGTACATTCTGCAAGGGTCTGAGGTAGAGTGCTGTGAATCGATCGCAGCATCCTCCAGCTTGTTGCACAATCGAGATCGCTGTACAAAGCCGCTCCAAGGCTGTTGCAATGGTACTTACAAACGACGCTTCGTATATGCCATATTTACTGAAAGCGAGTGACACGTGAGACCGCCCAAAGTCAACAACACCATTTGTTAGGCGAACTTCCGGCAGTATTTGAGGATCGATACCTGCCAGGCCACAAAGAGAAGCGACTACACGGCGTAAAGACGAAATATCCATGGCAGCTGGCTCCGGTCGCTCCTGATTATCATGGACGAAAGACGGTCCCGTGGATGGAGTATAAGCTTGGCCTGGGGAATTAATGGTATCCCTGTGCAGATCGCTGCTATTCTTGTCATGGACCGATTGGATGGACTGAAGCATCAGTACAGCCGGCGACTGCTTGGAAAGTGTCGCAACTCGCTGTTCGCTTTCAGTGGCCCCGGAAAGGCCATGGTCGCACTCGATAGCACCATCGACTATGTTAGCTGGCTCATGGTCGAGGGGATAGTCATGTGACAGCTTTCTTTGAGTACTCCGCTCGGAACCTGTGTGCGCACTGCGTAGACCAGTGAATTCATTTAACACAATGTCATCTGGTTCATACGAAGCTTTGCCAACGACAGTACCTGGAGAACTCAAGACATCCGCGTGGCAATGAGTGCAGTTCTGCGTGTGAAATTTGGCGTCGGGTAGTCGATGTTCTCCTGTCCATGGATCAAAAGGCAGCAGCGGTGATTGTTCATGCTGTTCAATAAGAAGTTGAGCCATCTCTTGACTATCATAGCCCATTTCGGCAAGCTCATTGAGCCATGACCAAGCACCTGATGCTACTTTTCGAAAGCGTCTTTCGAGTGCCCGGGCTAGGCTTGTGCTGCTGCCTTCAAGAAGAGCCGATTGAGTAATGCTCAGCCTAGGACTAGCATCGCGAGAGGAAGATTGCCGTAGAATAGCCTCGAAGTCTTCGCGAACAGACTCGAAAGTCTGTGCCTCTGCAAGCGGTTGGGATGATTCTTTACTGTGACGACTTGGTAAGAGAGTTGGGCTGGATGCAGAGGGAGGCGGGAGCACTGGCTCAATATGTGAAGTGTCGTGAATAACATCAAAATTTGAGGGTCCCAGGACACACTCCGCGACAGAAGCTGGGAATGGAGGGTCATCAAGCCTTGTCCAAGGGCTCTGATACCGCCAAGATGATTCTCGAAGAACATGGTCAGACTGCGACGAGATCCCGGATATACTGCCTAGATGTGACCAGTTTGAGGATGAAGAGCCTCCGTATCCGGAGTCGAATGTCCCAGATACGTGATGAACACTTTCAAGCGCACGGTTCCTCGCAGTTGTAGTCGTCTTTAGGGGTTTACTCAGGGCCTCGTCATCCTTATCGAAAAGTTGATCTTCATGGAAAACGTCCAAGTACTCGTCGTCATCCAACCGGCGGCGTCTAAGTAAATCAGATCTTCGCGGATGCTGTGCATCGGAGTTCAAAGGATGCTTTGAATCGGATTTCCGAGAGCGCTGTGGGTGTGCCATGCTGCACGAATCTCCTGCCGTTGAGATGAAAGTAAAAGGTGAACAAAATAAACCAACGATGATGGCTCCTGGGAATTACTTTCTCTTGGAGTATTCAGTGCTCATATTGCAGAAAGCTACAGCCATGATTGGCTCCCCTCATCTGCATGAAGACTCAGAGTCTCTACACAGCCACGTTGACGGCAAACACCTACATGAACGACACGGGCGGCATCGATTAGCTTACATAATCACAATGTCGCAAATGAGGTCTTCATGCCCGGAAGTATCGTCATATTAGTAGTGCAACATGGGGGGAATGCGCTCACTACTTCACCACAAGTGAGAGAGAAGGATGCGATGATCTTTCATGGGGAACGTCGGTCGGCAAGCCACAGAAACATGTAGCCACCCATGTCCATCTTCTTTGTGTTCTTCTTGCGTGCCCAATCATCGCCGACAGATCCCAGCTGCGTGTTAAATCTCGCTGGTCGACAAGTTCTCTCGATTGTGTCACGGGGTCCTTTTCATGATTGATGATGACAAAGCACACTTGCATGTGTCGATTCGCTTCTCGTTCTCTGGTCATTAGTAAGCCCGCGCAATTTCCCAAACCTGAACCTCCAGCGCTTGGAGGTTCCAATATCATTCACCTTTTCACACATCTTGATATGCGAACACCCATTTTAGTTCTTAAAGCGAGTTATTTAGTGTTCGAAGCGACGAATGTACCACAATGAAATATCTGACATGTGGGCGGGTAGAGAGATGACCGTACCCTTGGCGCTGATGCCCGCTTGTGCGCCATTCCGATCATCAGCCCAACGAACGTGCCCTTGGATAGACGATCGCGTGGTTTGCTTGAGCGCCGACGATATAGTGGATGACCTCCAAAAAGATTAAAGTGCGTTCTAAATCGCCATTCCGGAAGACGATGGCCTCTCAAGAGCTTGCTCTAAGTGAGCGAAGTCACGTCTCGCTTTCAACGAGAATACAATGACACTATGCCCCTATTTTGCACCTCACAACTCACAGCTTACGGGGTTCAGTTCGCAATCTTGGGGAGATCAATGGACGACTACGCCATCGAGCTTTATGGATCATCAAGATTCCTCATGAAGTCGATGTTCGCGCTTGTAAGCAAAATGTTTTTCTTCGCGAACTCCGGCGAGGCTCTGAAATCATCAAAACTTTCAAGCGTGATGCGCTGATACTTGCAATCAAATTGACATATCGTGAGCGTCTCCTCAAGAGGCGGGACACGCTCTGCCCATGCTGGCGCCTTCTCACGACCTGCCTCTTCAAACTTTGACCTTCTAAACTTCCACCAGCCGAGTCTTGCCGCGTTCGGACGATGCATTCCCGCATTTATCTTTTCATTGAACAGCCGACACACAAGCGCAGCAGTGCAGGCCAAGAAAGCGTAGCGCTCAGGCTCCGGATCCAGTGGGTCCGGGATATTGCGAATGCGCCAGGGCTGCTGCCAGAGAGCCTCGAGATGGAAGTTTATCTGCTCATGGTCATCCATGAGTATGTAAGTGTATATCCGGTACAGCTGCGCGAGCGGCGTCTCCGCGACTTGTCCTGCAGCCTTCATCGCGCCGAGAAACATCATCTGAGATTCGGAGAGGGTGGTTATCATTTGCGGAGTCATGTGGAGAAATTGTAAATTCGCTCTGGAGTTCGGCTCCCTCAGGATCTGCGCCATTCTTGAGAGTTTGAACTGCACGTTTGCATTGACCGTAGTGTATAACCATGCGTGCTCGGCCCGGCTCAAGCCTTCGTCATCGCAGTGCCCATGAATCTGCTGAATAATGCCGTTGGAACATGCCCAATGCTTTCATGCCGGTGGAAAAGCACAGCTACCTCATGTTCTATGGCGGCTGGAATTTTCATTGTTAATATAGATGTCTTATCCTGATGTAAACAATACGCCTGAATGAAGGACATGTGGGCGAGCTTCGCTTCAGTGGCGCCCCGCATCGGCGCATTTGACTGGCAGGGGACGGGCTGCTAAAGGCGCCCAGCTTTTGCGAGACACCTGGCGTCCGACGCGATTGGGTGTGTATCCATGGTCATTTCATCGCTACAGCACGTCGCGATTCGCCGCAGGTTTGTCGCATGCGACGACGGATGGATCGATCATATGAAATGAATATGCGGCCGCAGGATGAGTATGTTCTTCGCCGCTGACTCAGCACACGCGCCTTCCGCTTCAAAACCATCGAGCGTCACGAAATCGCGTTTCTCGTTGTCCCAATGAGGAATGGCAAGAGTCGCCTTCAAGCGTGGTACACGAGTCGCCCATGCGGGTTCCTCTTCATATACCCGCTTCTGTGCCCTCCAGACATCCAAATCATCGTGCGAGAATATGGACGGAGCATGGCGCGGTAATCCAAGTCGAATCCGCTCATTGAACGCCAGGCAAAGCAGTGCAGGGAGACATGCGAGACAGGCATAGCGTTCCGGATCAGGATCGTGGGGATCAGGAAGATCGCGGACTGGCCATCGCATGAACCAGATATGTTCGATTTCGTTGCGGATCTCGATAGATTGATCTAGGACTAGGTGTTCGTACATGCGGTAGAGCGCTGCAAGAGGCGTGTCGTAATCGCGGTCAACTTCGCGCTCGAGGTAGAATATTTCGCAATTGACGCGATTCGCGATGAGCGTTCGTGGTGCTGGCGAGAGCTCGTTCGATTCCGCGGGCTCTGCACTTGTTCCCCAGCGCAACGGCTTCGCAAACCTCGCTCTGAAGGGAGGCGAGAAGGCCCATCGCGATTCAATCTTCATCGCTTTCGGAACCGTTGACGCATCGTAGATGATTACACGGCAGGTTGTTGATCGTGCGCCAAAATGGGTGGTCCTTTGACGCGAACAGCCCTTGCTGCCCCGCCTGTGCTCGCCGCAATTCATTGGCCGCCCGCCAAATCGCCGGGCGAGTCGCGCCCGTCGGCGTTGTGGCGCGGGCGTCTGGCAATATCCTCCAGGACCGGAAGGGATTTATTATATGCGCAAATTGAAAGTTTTCGCGTGTAGACAGACGTCGTATCGCTTCTTATCGGGCTATCCAAAATGGACAACTCTTCTAGATTGATTCTACGATTTCGACAATGTCATTAAAGCTGGACTTCAATCTAGATCATGCCGAGTATCTCCAGCCCGTCACCTTGGAAGCCTCCGCCTCGCACACCATGGCAGAACTTCCGCCGTGAGCCCGCAACGTTTATAGCCCTCTGGCTGTACAGTCACCGGCCGACATTAATCGACAGCACTAGACGCGCAGAAGCGCATGCCCCAGGGAGATCAAGCCATAAAATACGCGTAGTCTGCATATCAGATACACATAACACGAAACCCGCAGTCCCAGATGGCGATATCCTTCTCCATGCCGGCGATCTCAGCAATAAAGGCACCTTTGAGGAGATACAAGCACAATTGTCATGGTTGGCATCGCTGCCTCATCGTCACAAGGTCGTGATTGCGGGCAATCACGATAGATTACTCGATGCTGAATTTGTGCGCGACCATCCCGAGCGGATTGCTGAGAGTCCAGGTTCCTCGCGAGCAGATCTGAATTGGCACGATGTTGTCTACCTTGAGAATTCTGTCGCGAGTTTGACATTTCCAGCATCCACCGCCAATCGGAATAGCACATCTGAGCAGAAGCTCGCATCGATTTATCTTTCAGAAGATCTTCGAGAAAACAGGACGCTCAAAATATATGGCTCTCCGCAGACTCCCCTCTGTGGTACTTTCGCCTTTCAATATCCTCCTATTCGGGATGTCTGGTCTGGCAAGACCCCATCGGATGTTGACATATTTTTGATTCATGGTCCTCCGAAGGGCTATCTAGATCAGCCTGCAGCGGACGTGGATCATAAGGGCTGTCCGCATCTTACGAGAGTGTTGGAACGTGTACGCCCTCGGCTTGTTGTGTTCGGACATATTCACTCCGGACACGGAAGACAGGATGTGAAATGGTCATGGAGTGTTGAGAGAGTATACGTGAGGATGATGGGAGTGGGAGAACGGGATAGTCTGAGTACGGCAATGAAGTGGTGGATTGTGGTCCTGATGCTGTTTGGATTGATTGGCGCTTGGGGTGATGTGATCATTGGGAGGGTACTGAAGTCAAGGAGACAAGAGTATGAGAGGAGAAGAAACACGACGGTCATGCTCAATGCTGCTATAGGCGCCGAGGCTGGGGATGATAGGGCAGCGATGGTCATTGATGTTTGAGTAGTGGCCTTGGTTATTGCATACTTATCTAAACAATGCGCTGGCATATCATTACACAACTGTCTCGGCGAGGAAGGAATCATGGATGGAGAGCCGTGGAGACCAGGTAAATGCCACATTCTGGCTAAATGCCGCGATCATCCAATCACGACCCAAAAAGGGTTGGAATCATTTCTGGCGGGGCGCAAGCCGTCAGAACGAGCTCGTGCGGAGATGATCACATTCCATGACAGCAGGTTTCCCGGCAGTTCACCACAATGGCCGCTGAGAGAATCACAGATATTTATGTTATCATCGGATAAATTGTATCGCGGAACACCCATTAGTCTAGAAGTTGACCTGCCTGTTGAGCTAGATTGTCCGTGTTCGCAGCAGACGCTAAATGAAGCCATTGCCCACTGCGCCGAAAGTCAAGACGTGATAAGCAAGATAGACCCGCTGCCAAGCGATATTTAGGTATGTTGACCCTGCACGGAGCGATGGTTAGCCGTCGATCAAGGACAATGAGCGAGATAAGGAATGGAATCCTTCGCGACGGCGGTAGAAGTGGACAATGACCGGTCGTGCGGACTATGCAGGAAAGGGACATTGGGCCGGGGAGACAGGCGCCCATTCTGCCCAATCGTCCTTCAATTTGAGCCTTTTCCCCGATGTCGTGGGAGACAAGTTGGGGTGACGGCTGCGCCCGATTGGCTCCAACCCACTCCGCCCTTTATCAGCCATCGTGGTTACATCGTGCAGATCCACTAACAAGAAACCAAGATATCAACTTGTCTCAGGTCCCTCTGCAGCTTGCAATAGGTCGAGACGGAATTACTACTCACCAAGCTACCTGCCTTTTTCGTCATTGGCGCGAACGCATGTCGCGTGATGGCCTTCGGTCAACGCGCCTGGAATAGTCGACATGCCCGCCGATCAACATCATCAAGCCTAATGGAAAGACATATTCTCCCCACACAGCGCGATAACAACATCGTCTCCCACTCGTCGACGCCATACACCATCCGGGGAGCGTAGATGATGTGATGCATGAGCTAGCAGATGGAAGATCAAGGCTCATGGAGGTACTCGGCGACCTCGACGACCGACGTGTGTATAAGAATATGGCCCAGCACCTCCCTCCATGAAACATCAAGCCTTTCAGGATCACTTGACTCCACTGCCAAATATGCTTGCCAAGTTCTTCGTCCTCCTCGCCGGCGCGGTGGCGGCCTTGGCTGCTCCTGCTGCCGAGCCTGCGCACCCTCATCTCCAGCGTAGCTCTTATGTGACGGAAGAGGGTATCAAGCACACCGTCGTCAAGGACAGGATGACTAACGTCACCCTCAACTACGTCAGCAACAGTGGTGTCTGTGAGACCACTCCCGGCGTGAACCAGTACAGCGGCTACTTAGACGTCGGCAACGGACTTCACATGTTTTTCTGGTTCTTCGAAGCTCGCCACAACCCGACCACCGCACCTGTCGCCACTTGGTTCAATGGAGGACCTGGTTGCTCGTCCATGATCGGTCTTTTCCAGGAGAACGGTCCCTGCCAATTCTACAACGGTGCCTCGACTCCCTCTTCCAACCCATACTCCTGGAACGAATATGCCAACATGATCTACATTGACCAACCTGTCGGAACTGGTTTCTCCTACGGAGATAACGGCACTCCAAATGTCGCTGGCACTGTCGCTGCTGCGCCATATGTCTGGCTCTTTCTTCAAGCTTTCTACAAGCAATTTCCGCAGTATTCGAGCCGAGACTTCGGTATCTTCACCGAATCCTACGGTGGTCACTACGGTCCGGAATTCGCCAGCTACATTCAAAGCCAGAACTCCAAAATCGCCAGCGGAAGCGTCTCTGGCCAGAAGATCAATCTTGTTGCCCTCGGTGTCAACAACGGTTGGTACGACCCGACCATCCAATACCAGGCATTCATCGACTACGCTTATGGCAACCCATACAAGTGAGTCCAATCTTGAACATGCATTATAAGATTTAGCACTAACCTCGAGTCCAGCCAACTTATCTCCGCCTCTGAGGTCACCACATACAACAACCGCATGACCAAGAACTGCGCTCCTGCCCTCAAGCAATGCAGCTCCCTCACCAGCAGCTCTCAGACCAACGCCTGCGAGAACGCCGAGAGTGTCTGCCTACGCAACATCGAGGAAGCCATCATCCAAGAATCCGACTTCGACGTCTACGACGTCCGTGAGCCGTCCAACGACCCATATCCTCCCACCGCCTACCAACCCTGGCTCAACAGCGCGACCATTCGCGCCAAAATCGGCGCCAAGGTCGCCTACACGGAATGCTCCAACCCGGTCCAGAGCAACTTCGAGAACTTCGGCGACGACAGCCGCTCCACCCTCACCACCATGCTAGGCGACATCAACTCCGGAATTCAAGTCCTGATGTGGGCCGGTGACGCGGATTATATCTGCAACTACCTTGGAAACTACCGTGTCGCGCAGCAGATCGCACCCTCGGGCTTCAATGACAAGTCGCTTCAGAGCTACACTGTTAATGGCCAGGCGGGTGGTCTATACAAGACTCAGGGTCATTTCTCGTGGTTGCAGGTCTACGGTGCGGGTCATGAGGTTCCGTATTATGCACCTGCTGTCGCGCTCCAGGCGTTTAAACAGACGATGCAGAAGGGGGTTTTGGCGAGTACGTAGATGGACGTTTTGGTTTTGGGAATTTTTGGGCAACAGAGATCTGAGAAAACATATATCCGGAATGTTAAACTTTCAATGCTTCGTCTTGTATCCCACAATACGGAGTGTCGGTCAAGTCGGTGAGTCGGTAATCCAAAGCCTTGGTGAGTGATGTTGACAAGCAGATTGTAGAGAATGCGAAGCTGGTGACTCACGTCAACCTCTTACTCGATTGCTCTCTCCGCTGGCTGATGCTCGACGCTCTCGGCTTGATGCTCTACGTTCATATTCTCAGAGATTGGGCGCTTTGATGAGTCACTCAATTCAACTTTGAATGCGCGTTGCCTGTGTGTTTGAAATGGAGCAGCAACATAAAATCAATGAGCCTAAATCAATCTACGCCAATCTAAGAAGAGAAGACTTACTCAGACCAGATGGATGAAACCTCTGCGATTCTTTGAGGAACGAGTCGAGTACCGGTAGTTTGAGCAGCTCCATATCGAGGACGAGATTACCTTCCGGATCGCAAAGCGTTTCTGAGCCCCCGACGAAGAGGATCCATGAGCTGTGGTCGGGTCGCAAGGTCAAGTATTGCATTGGTAGCCACGATGGCGGTGGAATGGATTGCGGCCAGGCACGCGTTGATCAGCGAGAGAGCCAGAAACCCCGGATCGTTCTTCTCCGCCTGACTCGAGGCATCTGTAAACAACTGCAGGAGGTCATCTGGACCCTGTTCATTTCCTGCCGCTGCTGTCTGTCCACGTTGTGTGATGAATGGCATCAGAAGCCGCCGCATTTGCGCTTCCTGACGACGAAGATGGATGCGTCCCGGGATAATGTGCTTGACAACAGGCCGCAAAAGAGACGGACACCATGTCAGGATCCTCGACACTATCAGACAATTGGCTGCAAACATTACGCTCACGTCCAGATATTCTTGGTTTCGGCATAGTTCAGGGCCAATGAACACACGCGCGACGAGGAGTGCGACAAGGTGAATCACCCCGGGGTAGACTAAGATGTCTGTCTATTCTGTTTGGGGGACGTAAATAGCTGGAATATTACAAGACTGCGTGATGGTACCCACTCTTAGCAGAGCGATATCAAGTTCTTCTTTGGCACCGTAGAGGAGCCTCTCGAGATCGGCGTTCTTCGTCAGGTGCAGTCGAGCAGCGTTCTTTAAAGCGGTTTGGTGTATGTCTAAGTCGAGAAATAAGTCATATGAAATCTCATACCACGATTCGAATATTTCACACCATCGCCGTCGATGCGAGTCCATAGACGAGAACGATAACCGTGGTGAAGGTAAATGCAGGCAAGCCGCACGATCCCTCCATGTATATTTTCTCGAGAGCGCTGAAGAAGTAGTGGATTAACGCCCTCGTGTCTCCGCGATTCGCCATCTACATCATGTGTCCGACTTGAGCCTCAGCCAAGTCAGCTCCAAATATTGACCCAAGCTTGTCGCCGTTCGATAGCTAAATAGCTTCATACACTCTCCGTCCGTGCTCTGCTTCTAAGCGACCTCATATAGCTGCTCGTATACATCGTCAATTTTCTTTGACGGATAGATATTTGAAAGAGAGTTGAGGAATGGGAAAGTATCGCAATCTATATCATCGGTCATGGACATGTTGTGAAGTTTAATACAAGAAAATGATAAAATTCAATGCAACGGTGCATGATGTCGGCACTCACTGTGCCTCACCCGAAGCCGCGCGTTGGTGGCTCACGTCAGCCACTGCCGTCAGCCATTCGTATCGAGTGCGACGCGACGACAAGAGGTTGTAACTTCATGCAACCACTCCGAGTGCAGTTCAAGACTTCGTAATCAAATCGCCGTGAACAAACTTCCCATCTTGACTTCATCATGTTACCAAGCCCGCCAGAAAGCCACAACGACCCCGTTCAACACAATGCGACGACGACCAAGAGAAAGCCGATTCGTCGGGATGCCGAGAAGCGGCGACAACAAAACATTATCGCTCAGAAGAGATATCGTGAGTTCTGACTCGAATTTTGAATGCTGGTCCCGGCGGCGAATAATGTTTTGCCGTTTAGGAGAGAAATTAAAGAGACGCCTTGGCCAACTCGAGAGGCTTGAGGCGGAAAATGAGCAACCTGACGAATCTGTCTCGGAGGTTCCGCCGAGTGCCATAGTATCGCCTCCGATAGACATAATCAGTACGGATTCGTCTAAAAATAAGTCGACGTCGTGCGAAGACACTCTTATCGATTCGCACACCCATGCCGAAGAATCTCATGAGTCGAATCATATGACGGATTTGTCTACGGACACGACATTATGGGACGCGAATCTTATTGACGATTCCCTACTTCTCCTCGGATATCCTGTAACTTCCGTTTCGATCAAGCATTTCGATTGTGGCTGCAAAGGCCCCCATCTCGAGCTCATCTCCTCAAACGGCGCGAAAGAATATCGCTACAGCCCACAATACCGCGGAGACCACTCCCAGCCACCGTTAAACCTCCCCGCCAAATCACTATGTATCGAACGACTCTGCATTATCCAAGCCATGTTCTCGAATTGCCAGCACATAGGCATCTCCGAAGGAATGATCTGCTCGGACGAGGCCTTCTCGCCCTTCTTTCGACCCATGCCTAACAAATCCGACTGCGACACAACAATATTGCCATCCGGCATCGTCTCACGAGTTCAAAATATCTTTCACACTCTCAAGCCAGACCTCCGTCCCCTCCAAGAACAAATCACCATCCGCCACCACCCCGTCATCGACGTCCTTCCCTTTCCGACTTTCCGCCGAAATTTGATCATAACTTATCCACCCATCCCCGAAGATGAGCTATTCGCCGATCTTTTAGATGGATTAATCTGCTGGAGTGGCGTCGGAGGAAGTAGAAAGGAACGGAGTATGCTCGAGGGAGAGAACTCATCGGGAACCCCGTGGGATTGCAGATCTTGGGAGGCGAGGGTTTGGTTTTTGCAGAAGTATTGGACGTTGCTGGGTGGGGAGGAGGGTGAGCTTGTAAGGCAAAGTGAGTGGTGGAGGACGTTGAGGGGAGAGGAAGAAGAGGTTTGGCCTCTTGGTGGACTTGTGACGGTATGAAACGATGCAATACTCTATGAGGAGGCTTTTCGGGGAATTGTCTTGAATGGAGTACTTGGGCTGCTGAAATAGGATGTCTGAATGAAGGTCAAGAATATGTAGAATGACTGCATTATTGTTAGAGATTTAGATGCCTTGAAACTGGATCTTTGAGGCCAGGGGAGTATTGTCAGCCACCTGGGAGAGCTTAAACGTTCATGGAGCAAAGATCTTCGGCTGACGACGGCATTTTATATTGCCGTGGTCCCCTGTTATATCGAGATTCCTACTCGCTGCTGCACCTCAAGGCGGCCAAGATGCGAGATGCGTATCATACAGTACTACGATTAGTGCCATTCAGATGTTCAATACATAAGAGGCCCATTGGAACCTGATAATGATCTTTTGAGGAACAACACACTACCGGCCGGTGGCCGTCCACAAGGAGACTAGTGTTATTCATCAATGCTCGCCAAAGCGTTCAATACCGACATTCTTCGTCCACAGATGCACCGTCTGTCATTCATACCCTGGGATCCTTGAAATCATCAATCACAAGAGAAATCAATCTTAAAGATGGCAACAGCCGCAATCTTCGGCGGTACCACTCATGTCGGTAACCAAATCTTGACCACGCTTCTGAACGACACTACATTTGGTTCCATCAAAGGCAATATGGTCGCGACATCGCACAACACAAACCTCTCCCAAACTCGAATATTTTCGAACAGACTTAGCCGCCCAATGGGGCTCCAAGATCTCTATTGAGAACCTAAAGCCCACGGTCATCTCCAACGCCGCCGGCATCGCCCACTCCCCCAAGGCCGCTTCCGAGCCACGATGGAAATTGACCGAAAGTTATGCACTGCGAACATCAAGGACGCGAGAGCCGCAGGCGTGCAAACCTAATTGTGCATCTCGGGCGCGGGTTCGACTCAACCTCCCCCTGATGGCGAACCCGGAGTCGAGGGAGCTCCACGCGATGCAGGCTTCGAGTCTGTGATTTTGCTTCACCCCGACATGAAACAGAAGTCTGGAGTTTCAGGGGCAGTTTTTGGGGATTCGAATTTGAAAGGTCCGACAGCACCGGAGAAGTTCGGTAGGTGACTTTACATGATTTTCTGGAGTTCACTGGTTGATGGGTACTTCTTGCTGATGGTTGTTCGCAGATCCGGATTCGTGCCTTATTGGGCGAGCTGCGGTGGCAGCTTTCAAGGAAGCTCAGGCTGGTCGAGCACCATCTAACTTTTGGGATGTGAATATCCTATTATGGATGTTCCACGATGCGCCCATGGAGAGGTATTGGTTTCCGAGCCGCGTCGGTCTCGGCGTACGTCTATATTATATTTATCCGACTTGTATTACTTGCAGCTTTGCGTAGAATCTTAGGATCCTTCTAAACAGGATATTGTACTTGTAATAAAAGCCCCTGAAGTTTAGATATACGGGCGGGACGCTGGTGTTGAACCCTGGCACGCTGGGGATAAAAATAAGGGCAAACTTTTGGCATGTAGATCACAGCAAGATTTGCCCTTTTTTATGTCACCCACATGCCTGGGTAGTTGATGTGCTTTGTTTGACTTCGATGATGTCCATCATCAGTCTAGAGACCCATCTTCCAACGAGCAACAAGTCAGAACAATCTCTCGTCCATGGGATGCATCCAACCAAGCAACAGGTCAGATCTATGACCGTCGTATGCCCTATCTGGAGCAAATAGAGGAAGGTATCTTGAAGTGGTCACTGTTTTTTTTCATCTATCAACAATACCCTTAGAGAATACAACATGCAAGAGCCGCCACAAGCAAAGTCAGTGACGGAAGGCGACAATTCAAGATTGCACCAATTATCCGATGAAGATGAGAAACAATGCGATGTTCGAAAGAGTGAAGATACCTCCGAGTATCCGACTGGACTTAGGCTGGCTACAATTGTTGTCGCCCTAGGCTTGGGTAACTTACTTAGTTTACCATCGTCGCAACTGCAATCCCAAATATTGCGGACGAATTCCAAGGTCAGTCAGACGTCGCCTGGTACAGCGACGCGTTGTTCATTATAATCGGTGGCATTCAATCCGCCTGGAAGAAAGGACACAAGTACTTCCCTCTCAAGACTATCTTTCTTCTGGCCATCCTTGCGTTTTAACTAGGCTCTCTGCTTTGTGGCGTGGCGCCCAATAGCGCCGTGCTCATCTTGGGACGCGCGATTACCGGCCCGGGTGCAGCAGGTATTGGCTCGGAAATTTACATTTTGATTGATTTTTCAGCCAGACCAAAGCAGCGACCATTGCACACGGGGATTGTTGGCAGGTTATGGCATCGCAGCCGTCGCGGGACTGTCGATTTGTGGTGCATTCTCCGAATCCGTCAGCTGAAGATGGTGACTTCTCCCGATCTATGAGCTCGCTGAGCTGCTTTTCTGACTGGTGATAGGTGCTTCTACATTAATCTTCTCATTGGAGCTCTTTCAGCACTCATCATTTTACTGTTCTTCAAGACACCTAGCGCTACAAATCTGCAATCCACGATTCTTATAGAAGAGTTCTTACAAACCGATCCAGTTGAGGTTGTCCTCAAAATGGGTTGTGTTACAAGGTTCATTCTTGTCTTGCACGATTCTGGCACCCATTATGCATTCAGCTGATGTGGAATTATGGCAACTCAGCATGAAATGGAAGCACCGGCAAATTAGACCAATACACGATAGATCAATGAAAGAGAGCTCACTACCATTACACATAGCTGTGCATTCATGAGCGTCATCTGCATCACCATAGCAATTCCTTCCGCATGAGATGCAGAATTCGATCGTGCGTATACTCCAAGGAAATGCGTCACAGAAGCATGATTTCAATGTGCGGGTATCAGCTGGATAGTCAGCTCCTCGCCCTTTACAAAATCCAGGCAAGCATCTGAACATACTGGGATTTCATGCGTATGCCTTTCAATTCTGTTTGGACGGACAGCCTTGTATGCATCTCTGCTGGAGATTGCGATCTACCTACGCTCTGACATTTGGAACCAGAATCAATGCGATGTGAAAAATCAAGGCTTAAATTCGGAACGTACCGATAGTCCTTTCTCACACCGAACACATATAGTCGTGGCCTCAAGCATGTACAAACTCCCGATTGATCTTCGTGGCATTTACTGAAAGGAGCCCGGAACGCCATATCACCATAATGAGATACCAAGGACAGCGCCCAGGTTGTGCTCTGACCAATCTCCAGCCATGGATGAAAATGAAGCTCATCGGAAGCTGTCTAAGACTCGCCCGATGGGTGCCAACATCGACAGGGATCTGCTTGACGAAGCTATCAAGGTCAACTTCGTGTACAAGGTTCAGGACATGGTCTTTCGGCCGCATTCAGTAACTCGGGCGATTTCAGTGAAGCCGATGAGGTTAGTTCAAAAGGCCAATGAGTCCCTGCTGAAGGAGCATGTGCGGCGTGTTTGCCACGTACGACTCAATACGCGCGTCAATGCGAAGATGGAAAATACGCGTCCGCCAACCCCAACATCTCCTGCTGGGCTTTGGCATGCTCAACCTCGACGTGAGCGATTCAGGACTTTCAGCCAGGCTTGGACAAGTTGAACCCTCTCGCCGATCCCAAATCCCAGGTCCCTACAGCCTTTGACCAAAATCATTGGCTGCCTCTCAAGGCTTCCATTGATCATTGCATGCTTGGAAAATAACTTCGGTCGTTCCGCTTCATTTCGTGCATTACATTTTTCCGACCTTGGCTCCAGCAGTACTAGTGTCTATGTTCGTCGGGCAAACTTTACTGCAAATCATACCTTAATGCGCCTGAACAGATAAGTTGCGACCCACAAGGCGAGGTATATACGATCCAGTCCCGGGTGTGAGTACTGGTGATCTCGCCATGTGTGAAGATCTGTTTACGCGTAATGCGCGATCGCCGACAATTGATAACATCCTTGTCGTGCGTACGCCCGGCGCTGAGGTGAGATACATGATCTCATCTTCCGGGGGGTGAGATTAAGCTTCGCGCTAAGGATGCGGGACTGTTCACCGGAACTGACCCCGGCGTGCTCACCAGATGCGTTGCCATTTCATAGCATCACATCTGACGGCAAGTGGGCGGCTAGGTTGAATGATCGAGTTTAAGAAGTCCAGGTTGACACATCACATCGCCAATCATGGCTGGGAAGTGCATCCAAGGACATCCTCGCCAAGGACCTCGCCAAGGACATCGCAGCCAGGCTCCCCACCACCAAGGACTTTACGAGGACATCACCACCAAGGACATCACCGCCAAGTAAATCGCAGCCAGGGACATCGCAGCCAAGGACCCTGCCGCTGAGTGTATCGAAACTAACCGTTCCACTTCCGCTGTAACCGCACCAGCTTGCGGCAGCTAAATACGTCTACGAAGCATTACGCAGATCCATAAGGACTGTTGTAGAACAAGGACAGTTACGGCCCCAAAACACTCGGGTTATGTGCAGCTCTTGTGTTGATTCGCGGAACGTCACCATCTAGGAATCAGGCCTCTCACTGATGCTGGGCTTCGCCACCCGACACCATCTCCAAAGCGACATTCAACGTCACGGCGAACAGACTATCCAACACAAGCTGGGTCCACAACGGATGTCGGGCAGGTACCTTGGCGTGGGTATTATTCTTCCTTGCGACTGTGCGGGCTCGCAACGCTGAGTGACTTCAGACAGTCAGGAGGTGCAATGGACGAAGTCGAGCGCTCAGAAAAGATATATAAGTCGCCTGCCGGTCCATGAATGCTTTTTTGGAAATCATCACTCACACAATCCAATCTCAAGCCTCAACCACAAGCCTTCAACCCACCAGACCAGCTCTCCAAGCCCGATCATCCTCTTCTCCATCAACATGCAGATCAACGCCATGCTTCTCGCCTTCATCGGCACCTTTGCCCTGACCAACGCCGTGGTCGTCGAGATGTTCGCCGACGAGGGCTGCGGGCAGTCTGTGGGGACTCGCAACGTCTACGACAACACCTGCGCCCCGACCCAGGGCTTCCAGTCTTTCCGCGTCATCTCCAACGGCGGCGGCAACCAGTTCGTCCGCTCGTACAGCCCCAACAACTGCGCCGGTCCTCAGACCCAGTGCATCCCCGCCAGCGGCGTGTACAACTGCATCCGTGCCATCAACGGCGCCGGAGGCAGCAACGCTTTCGGATCCAGCACCATCGGCTGTTAGATTCGGCAGAAATCCTCAACTCGTCGTTCAAGCTGCTCAAGACTGTTCCGAGGAAATCCTTCGCAGTATGATGGTCCCTCGTCATTTGCGCAGTGGGACAAAGCTGCCTGAATGAGCCGGGGGACAACTGGGATTTTTGACCTATCAGCGGACTCAACTTGCTACCTTCCGAGGTGTCCATTCGCTATATAATCATAAAATCGACTCATTCATATGACTCATCTAAGAGACATTCTCATTTGTATATCTGATGGTGACACTGTGACGATCGACCTGTCGACGCTAGTAGCCTCATGACCAGTTTCAAAACGACAGGGTCAGTTCACGCTTATCTTGAAATCTTCCCCCTTCGAGTAATCCGTAATGCTGGAGTTCTCTCTCTTCGGATCCGGTCCGGGGAAAGTTCAGATTGTCCAGAACTACGCCATGGCGATGAAGGGGAAGCTCGTGCACTGAAGAAAATGAGCTCGCGGACGCATAATACGCGGGACTTACGAGCACGGTGAAGTCTGTGCGAGCGGAAACAGCGTTTATGCTGGTTAGCTTTCCAACTTCGGGTCATGAACATGGACTTGCCCAGTGCACGTTATGACTTTATACGTTGCGGGGGCGGAGGCGCGTGGGTGCGCTCACCTCGCACTGTCTTGAACCGGGATTGATTAGGATACATCTGGGCAAGACACACACACATGGATCGGACAAATTGACACTCCAATTACTGGACTGGTAACTTGAACTTTACCATGACTCAACCATTCGCTTGTACGCTTTTCATCCTTGAAGGTAGAGTCGAACATCGGCTCGTTTGTGTTCAGCCGTCACAGTACCCGGTCACCGGACATGTCTACTAGACATACGCTACCCACGCATCAGGTATGAGGCCGTGCATAGAGGAAACAAATGAAGTGTCGTGTACGAGCGCGGGCGTGTCCGTTGCTCAGGAGGATTTAGCGGTAAGCGCCAAGCGACCAGATCGGGTTTAGTCTGTATTGACCACCTGGGCATGCGGCTGGCTTTTCTATACGCGTATCGACCTTTTCAGCATCTCTAGCGCACAAGCAGCATCATGATCCGTATTCTATCGCAACGTTTCGTGGATTGGTCGCGGCGAAATGAGACAAGCTAATTAAATCCTAATCACCGGAATGCGTCCGAACCTCGAACTTTTCGCGCTCCCGGTCGATCTCCTGAATTTCTTGTCGCGGGATAATTTGGTCATGCGGTAAATGCACTGAGACGATTCCAAGTCGGAGATGATTCAAACAATGCCTTCCGCCCTTTTGATCACAGAGATAGAACTACCCCTCCCCCGCCACGATGGCAAAGTGGTCGTCGATGCGAGGATCGTCCAGAACATGAGATTTCTCACTTCCAATGCCGGAATGATTGTACTGAGCGGAACCAGTCTGGCTGATTTACATGCCAGGAGAGGTAATCATCGCAAATCAATTCGAGCGGTTGGTGACGCCGGCGGTAGTAACGCAATAAACTCGATGACTCGGCGTGAACTTCTCGAAGACACAGAGAGAGGAGGTCCGTTCTTGTTGCATCCCTCTCCGTTGATCTCAGCGGCTTTTCTCTCCCCATGAACCATATGTCATCGGCGAAGATGACGGGGACAGGTCGTGGTTGCCGTCAGTTCTACCTTCTTCACTTTCATGGCGATGGTTCCGCTGAGGTCGACAATCGTCGGGTAGGAGTGAGACTCGAGCGGATGAGAACATTTGTATGCACGGGCTCAACGCGACATCACGCCTGAAGGAGGAAGCATGAAGCATGGAGCATGACGCGAACCATCAGATCGCCGAATATGGATATATGTATGTATCTATCAAATGGCTGTGTGGGGACGACATGTCAGTCGCGAACTCCTGGGGTCCTGGCCTCTTGATGCATACATTCAATGACTAACGAGAACGCTGCCCAGAAAAGGAAAGAAGATCAGTAATAAGTCCCCGGTCCCAGGGAGAACGGGGATCGACGACTCACGCCAGCGATCTAAACCAATCCACAACCCGTCCCGGAGCTCATGGCATTGCTCCCGCCGTTGACATTCGTCGCCGAGACGCAGCCGTAATTGCCGTATGCGTCGATGCACGCGGTGGAGGCGCCGGCGCAGGCGTTCCGGCTGTAGGCCGTGAGGCGCTGGAAATTGCCGCCGTCGGCGGTGACGCGGAAGGACTGGAAGCCGCCGGTCGGGCCGCAGGTGTTGTCGTAGATGTTGCGCGAGTAGGAGAAGTCCTGGCAGTTGTTGTCGTTGAAGAAATCCACGACGGCGGCGTTGGCCGTGGCGGTCAGGGCGGCGAGGAGGATGGCGGCCTTGATGAACATTGTGGGAGATTCTTTCCGGAAGTGTGGGCTGCTGGTGATGGGTTGGGTCTGTCGTCGGTGAAAGACTTCGGCGAGCAAGCTTCGATCTGCGGCGGAAGGATCTTGAGTCGTATTGCTCTCGAATCTTCGAGTAATGGGGACGATGCGAGTTCATATATCACCGAGCATTGCATCGGCGGGAGTGGCGTCGGAGAAGGTCAGGCCGTGCATAGCAAGGCAATAGATCGGTAGGCTGTGGAGCAGAGATCCTCGGCGATCGACAGCCACGCAGCATCGAAGGCAGCGCGACGAAGCCAACGGCCCATAGATCCACCACGGGGCGAATGCCCAGCTGCAGAAGATCGCCAGATGGGCGTGCAAGGGCAAGGTTCAGGACAAGTCACGCATGCGGTCGGGCGGAGACGGCATGTCAGGACTCAAGCCACCGAGCGCCACTCGAGAGCGCCGCTCCGCTCGAGCATCGGCATGGCATGGATCTGCGACGCATGGCGTTCCGGGGGCGTTCGTGTGTGTATACGGCGTTATATCGGTCGCCGGGAGGATCGAAGCTCTTAGCTCGTACATAGGTCAACAAGGCGTGGATGATGGGGAAGGAAGCAAGATGACCTTTCCTCGCCGAAAAATCTCCACGGACGATGTCATTGAAGGGAAGGTCTCGTCACAGTCGACAGGCCCTCGCGCGGCGGCTCCGAAGATTCACTTCGCCACGTGCCTCGTCAATGGCTGATGGACATATCTCTCTCTCTCTCTATATCCCTCTATATGCAGGGTCCATTATTATCAACGAGACTTGAGGATATCGACCCCGCGGCGTCATACGATCATTCATCATAACCGGCTGCATCGAGAGAGGGATGGGGGAATCCTTCACTGCGCGCTTTCTCACGCGGTGCTCACGGAACGGATTCGCGCAGTCACGACAGGGGGAAAAAACTCCGGGGAAAATTCCAGCGAGAACGTCAATGGCATAACGAGCCGAGTTGACGGGAGAACACGGCGGCACGCGGGCGAGAGGAAAAAAAAGACATGGATAAGGGGATTTGCCGTGACGGGCGACCTCCTCGGCGTCGAGTCTGACGGCCTCGAATCTCCACGATATCCGTCCATCTCGTCCAAAAGAGAATCGGAGAATCCCCGACCTGGGAATCGTTCGGAATGGTTTCCTCTCAAACGACCAGGCCCATCATCGGATCGCCCTGCTCCTTCCCGTCGGCGCCGAGCGGGGGGCTCAGCAGCATTTCGCGGAGGGAGGAGAGGCCCGAGCGGCCGAGGACGAGCGGAGCGTGACGGTGGTCGTTTTGATGAGGATGTTGTTGTTGGTGGTGGTGGTGGTGGTGCTCGGATTGGTCTGCGGAAGCGGGAGGAGGTTTCGTCGATGATGAGGATGTGGCGTCTTCGACGGAAACGGGAGAAGGAGGAAGTACAGCGGAGGAGTGTGCGCCTCCGCCGAAGGATTCCAGGCCGTCCAGGCCGCGCCAGCCGTCTTCCACGATCCACCTGGGCTGCACCTGTTCGACGTTCTCCTCCTCACCCTCCTTGATCGACGCCGGAGGAGAAGTAGTGGAAGGACCAGGAGGAGGGGTGAAGAGGACCTCGCAGGCCCTCCCGACGACTAACAGGCCGGGCGGTCTCGAGCCCTCGGTCTCCACGGCCGCGACGACGAAGCGCAGCGTCGTGCGGATGACGCGCTGATCGGGGCAGGAGGCGCGCTCGATGACGGCGCAGGGGGTGTCGAGGGGATACGTCGGGCCGGGGTGCCTCCTCGTCTGCTCTCCCTTCTCGTCTCCTTCGGTTCGCTGCGCTCCGTCGACGTCGTCGACGGTGAGACTCTCCACCAGATCGGCCAGGCGGTGCAGCGCCATCAGGAACACCACCGTCTGGCTCTCCCGCCATTCCGGCCGGACGGGCTTCGCGCCGTGTCGCCCCGTGCCCGTGCAGATCAGCAGCTGGTCGGCGACGGCGCGATGCGTGGCCGGGATGGCGGCGAAGAGCGGGGCGCTGAGCGCGGAAGTGACGCCGGGCAGAACGAGCGGCTCATAGCCGTGGGTGCGGAAGAAGGCGACTTCCTCGGCGCCGCGGCCGTAGAGGTAGGGGTCGCCTTGCTTGAGGCGGAGCACGGACCGGCCCTGTTGCAGGGCGGCGAGCGCCAGGCTGTGCAGCTCGTCCTGCGCGGCGTCGGCGTTGCCCGGGAATTTCCGCGCGATGTGCAGCGGGGTGCGGCGCGGCGCGAGGGCCAGGACGCCCGCGGGCACGAGTTTGTCCGCGAGGATGAGGTCGGCGCTGCGGAGGGCTTTCAGGGTGGCGGTGGTCAGGAGGTCGGGGTGGCCGGGGCCGGAACCGGCGAGGATGATGCGGCCTTGGCGGGGGCGAGGGGCGGGGAGGGATACCCCAGGGGTGGTGGTGGCGGTGGTGGTTGTGACGGGAGAGCGGGGATCTTGTTGGTAAGCTTCGAGGATGGTGGTGACGTCGTCGTCGGTGATGGCCGCGAGACGTTGCAGAGGCCAGTATTCGCAGATCTGCGCGAGCCAGCGCATCCGCCGTGCCTTGGCGGCGTCGGCATCGGTCGGGAGGATGAGTTTATTGAACGCGGCCGTCTGACCCGCGTCGTCGTCCTCCGCGTCGTATTCCACCGGGATCGTTGGTGCGGTTTCTGATTCCGCTGCCTCGCTCTGCTCTCCCGCTCTTGCCTGATCCTCCCGATCCTGCTCCCAGATCTTCCGCCTCATCGTCCCAAGACGATCCACCGCCTCTCCCAGATCCGGCGGTAGAGCAGCGGCGATCTCCCTCCGAATGCGCGAGGCCAGTTTACAGCCTCGTCCGGAAGTGGTCACGCCGATCTGGAGAGGGCCGGCGGAATGCGTGGAGAGGAGGGTGAAGGTGCAGAGCAGCGGGGCATCGACGACGTTGACGGGGATCCTGAGTCGCCGACATCGAGCGGCGAGGGCGCTATTCGCGGCGGTGGCGCCGGGAGATGTGATGAAGACCGCGTCGACGATGTGGTCGACCTCGGGGCGGCCGAGGGTGGTCAGGTCTTGTTCGGAGAAACCCCGCTGTAGCCATTGGATCTGCTTCTCCTCGATCCGGCGGGTGAGGACATGTGGGAGGGCAGAGGTGGTCGGAGCGATGAGGATGGGCGTGGCGCCGACTTCGAGGGAGCGGGAGACTCGTGCAGCGGCGAGAGCATTGGAGCCGATTACGAGGTGGATGTGGTTGTTGGAGTCGATGGCTGTGAGGAGAGCGGGAGGGACGGCGGTGGCGGTAGCGGTAGTGGTGGTAGTAGTAGCCATGATAGAAGACTCGTGCCGTGATTGAGATGTAAGAGGACGAAGGAGGAGGAGGTAGAGAGAACCACGGACGTGGCGAGGGAGGAAGAAGAGAGCGAGCGAGAGGCGAAAGCACTACTTGTAGGTTGAAACGCGCAGGCCCCGATCCAAACCGCGCGGTGGTAGTCCGAGGCGAAGGCGTCGCGCATGTATGAACTAGGCAGGTATGGACGTATGGATGTATGGATGTATGGATGTATGGATGTATGGACGAAAAGAAAGTCGCCGATATCGATCTCGATGAGCGAGACACGGCCAAAAAAAAGAAAGAGAAATTCCACTCCAAAGCTACTTCAATGAGGAAGCCATTCCCTTCTGACCATCCCCACCCACGTCCAGCTCAGCCTTACAAGCCAGAACGACATTCCCATTCATTGATTCATGCATATGCATTTGATCTCGATCTATAATAAAAGATCATCTAGAACGTGGTGGTGGCATACATACATCCATACATACATTGGGGCAAAGAAAGATAAGCGACGACGATAAGCGACGCGGGCGCGGGCGAAGACCGCGGGAAAAATCTCTTATCAGCGAGCAAGCCCGCCCGGCGTCGGCGCGCAAAATGGCGGGACAAAAATGATAAATAAGTTGATATGTAATAATGATAATCGGAAATGCCTGATTGGGGACGACGCCGCGGAGAAGAAACCCCCGCTGCTTCCTCTCAGGCCCGGGGCTGACTGGTTTCTCTTAGGGTTGACTGATGGGGCAGTGAGTGACCGGGTCGGTCCCTGTTAGGCATGTTTGTCCCGCCGCCCAAACAACTTTTCGAGAAGAAAACGAGGTATTGTAGGAAGAGCAGGCCGAAGAGAAAGAGGGAAGGGATGAGGAATGAGCAGTCAGTAAAGGATTAGAGGAGTGGAGGATGATATTTTCCAGCTGCAGTTCTTTCGATGAATGGAGGGTGATTTCCAGCGTTCGATGAATTGAGGCGGGAGGGGAGGAAATGAGGGGACGATGATCGATGTCTTGAGGGAATTTCCCTCCCTGTGCGCGCGACGGAGAGAGAGAGAGAGATGAGGGATGGGAGACGAGATGAAAACCTAGGTGTGATTCTTTGCCGGAGGGAGAAGGCAGGCATCGGCGAGACGGGGGGGAGAGAGAGAGGGGGACAGTAGAGAGAGTAGGAGGGGAGGTGTGCGATGTCCAGAAAGGGAGATGGAAATAACTGGAGATGGAGATGGAGATGGGAATCTCCGCGGGCGAGGCGAAGAGATAGTAAAGGAAAGAAAAGAAAAGAGAAGAGAAGGGAAGAGAGACGGATGAAGATCAGAGTTGGTTCAAGCAGTGTGATGGGCGGACATTATGCATTAGGTTATATGCTGTTTCTTGTCCCTCTCTCTCACTCGGACCTTCCACCCGCCCCGTAGAGAGGGGCGGTGAGGTCGAACGAGCGAGAGAGGGAACAGAAGGAGATGTATGATTATGTACAACAACAACGGGCAGGGGAAAAAGCAAAGCAAACAGACGCAGCGCAACGCAGCAGATTCTGGATATCATGATCAGGAATACGAGAAAAGGAGGACAGACAACCAGGACGGTCCCATCCCAGAGGTGAAAGAGGATTTCATTCCTTCGGGTGGGATATCCCTGCTGCGCTCCTGACATCCTCCTGGGGCGGCGGCCGAGCGCCCGCACACGCTCGAATCAGCGTGGGTGGGTTTCTGGGTGAAACCCGAGATGTGCTTTTCTTCATCATCATTAAGTTTTTTTCTTATTCTTCTTCTCTTGTACTTCTTGGGCTGTCGTGAGAGGTCCTCGTGGTGGATGGAGTAGAGGACAGATCGTCGTGGTTCGGTCGTGAGGTCAGGGTGGTTTTCGTTCTTCTTCTTTTCACATCGCGCAGGGGAGTCGTAGGGTTAAATCAAAACGCAGCATGAACGACGATGTTCGGCCGATGAGGGCTAGACGTCGAGGCGAGTGATTTATTCGTAGCTGTGAGAGGAGAGGAGATGGTCAGCGATCAAGATATCTCGTGTGAGGAACGTATTCTTTGAACATACTCGTCCTTGACGCGGCGACCGCTGTCGGCGTCACGGAAGCTACCGCGGCTGCGGGTGCTCTTGTTGCGACGGAAGAGGCCCTTCTTCTCGTGACCGTAGTCCTCGGTGTTGCGCTTGCCGCCGAGGGCACCGCCGACGCAGAAGAGGATGGTGGCGATGGACCAGGCAGCAAAGGCAGCCCAGGTGAAGGCGATGGCCTTGACACCGTATTGAGCCTCGAGACCGGCGTTGTTGAAGGCACGGTAACCACCGACAACCCAGGCGCTGTGTTGAGAAATATCGTCAGTTCCCTGTCGACTGTGTGAAGATTCGATACATCGCGAAAACTTACGTCATGAGAGAGGCGGCGACGGCTTGCATGCCAACCGCGAGGAAGGTGAAGCTGCTGCTGAGGTAAGCGCCGAGGCGGGTGCACAGAGCCAAGAGGCCGGTGAAGATGGCGAGGGCGGCGAAGAAGAGGGCGATGATGTAGAAAGCCCAACCGATGCGGCTGAGGTAGTACCAGTAGTTGCGGTTGTCGGCGAAGGTCGAGGGGAGGTTGTTGGCGGCGTTGGTGCCGGAGAAGTTGTCGACGGGGCTGAACGGCACGTCGGCGGCGGTGGCCAGGCAGTTGGCGTTCAGGTCGGTCTGGCCGTCAACGCCGCAGAGACGGAGCCAAGTCCATCGGACCGGGTTGGGGATGCCTTGGGCGTTGTTGGGGAGTCGGGCCTGGAGGAAGTAGATCTGGTTCTCGGGCATGGTCTCGAGGCCGGAGAGGACGACGAGGAACTGGAGGACGATACCGCCCGCGAGGAAGACGAGGGCGATCAAGCCGAGGATGGGACCTGTGGGAGGAAGTGAATGTCAGTGACGGTTCCTTGTGGTGTGACGATGGTGCTAATAGTAGCGATGGTTCCGTCGCGTCGTCGATGTGACCGAAATTCCGCAGTCCTGCACACCGCAAAAGTTGCCACGCCGTCTTCCTTCACAAGCGCGTCGCAACACAGGTCATTGGGACATGGCAGTGATGATGTTGGAATACCGGCGCGCGCGTCGCATTGCGGTGGGTTTTCCTGCCCACAGTACAGCAGACGCGCCCGTTGGGTCACCTTTCCAAGCGGAGGCTTCCGTTCGTGATGTTGCGATGAGAGCGCGCGGGCGGGCGGGCGATGTGCGACCGAGGAAACGACGGCGATGTTTGTTGCGAAATAGGAGGTGTCGCGAGATGGAGACTGTGATGAGAGAGAGAGAGAAGCAAGACTTACGAGCGACGGCCATTGCGACGAGTGCGGGTGTTGGTTCACCGCGACGACAATGTGTGGATCGGTGTGGTGGTGAGTTTGTTTTTGTCGTTGTTTGTTGACGGCAGCGGTAGCAAACACACTCACACGACGACGTACGCGGTGGATGGACGACCCGGAGAGGACGTAGGATTGCAGTGGGTTGGGATTAAGCAAGTAAGGAGAAAGATCGAAAAGAGGAATAAATGTGTGGTGACGAGACGACAAGGTTATATCAGGAGGAATAGGTTGGTACTAGGTAGTGGTGATGATGATGATGATGATGGTTGCCGAGGATTGTGGAGGGTGATGGTGGTGAAGCGCAGGTGAACACACACACGCTATGATGATGATGTTATGGGAGGGCGCACGCACACACACCCGCGATCAACTGCTGTATGTACTGTAACAAAAGTTGATTTGTGTGAGCGTCTGTGTGTCTGTCTGGAGGGATGGGATGGGTATGGGATGGGTATGGGATGGGTATGTGCACGCCCGGGCGCCCGAGGGTAACGAGACGGAACGTAAAAGGTGATGAGTTGGCCGCAACGGTCGAGGCCCGAGCCCGATGAGAGAAATATCTAGAACGCATGGGAAATGTGACGCTGCGGCTCCGGGTGAAACTGGGCCATCGCATCCACAGCAGTTGGTTCTAATATTCCTAGTGTTTTAGCTATTTATTTGGTCCCATTGCCCGGATTTCGTCTGTTCGGATCGTCGTCAATGGCTGTCCACAGACATACCTAGGTAGCTACAGTAGCTAAAGCAGTAGTCGCTTTGTTGGCGGTGGTGCTGCTGCTGCTGCTGCTGCCGCCGTTGTCGTTTCTACATGTACAAAAAGGACCCTCGAGAGAGAGACGGAGAGACGCAAGCCCAAGAAAGGAAAAAAAGGGCGATGACGCAGTTGGACGAAGCTTGACTTTTCGGCACGAGCCTCTCGAATGATGATGATGATGTCGATGCATGATGGAAAAGCCTGCCCAGATTCATCCACCATCATCACTCGCCGGATCGAAATAAAACAACCTTGGAATCTGGGCATCGCTGAAGGATTTTTCTCTCCCACCACGATCGACACCGTCACGTGCGCAACGACGACGACGACGACGACGACGATGATGTCGAGACCGATGATGTAGTAGTAGGTAGCATCGATCGAGGTGTCTTCCGCATTGGGTCGGTTTGCGACAGCCTCGGAGAACCCGCGCGTGTCGGGAGAGGACTGATGGGTGATGATGATGATGATGTCTATCGTTGGTCTCAGAGGCGGCTCTCCCTCTCCCCGCTTCGACGAAGACCAATTATCCATCAATTGGGCACGACCATGTTTATGATGGTGGACTCGTCTAGGTATACACATACCAGTGCATGATGGAGTATTCTACCCAGGCAATGTTTATACCTTGTACTGCAGACGTGTAACATTGCTGAATATAGAGGCGGCGGCGGCGGAAGGCGGTGCAGAAGGAATGCCATGCCCGGCCAGGATTTGGAGTGGAGGGAGGACTGCCCATGCGACGACGGAGGAGCGCCATGCTTCTCCTCCACAGCACGTATGTACGTACGTCAGGATCTCAGGTCTCCGTCTTTCCTCTCTCGCGCGCGCTCTCTTTGCTTCCCAGCGATTCATCGTGGTGGAGGGATTTGTCTAGGCTCTCGACTCACCACGCCGCCGATCGAGCCGCATCGTGACCGTGTGCATGTTCATTGGGGAATAATCCTGGAGAGAGAGCTCTTCCTCCCGCCAGATGCAGACACCTCTCTACAGGAAACACACACCCTGACACCCTCACGCACACACACACATCCACCGAGGTATACACGTGACATCCCTCAGCCGTCTCTGCATCCTCACACACAGACACACACACGACAACATCCCGATCAACGCCTCCAACTCAATATTTGTTATTCGGCTCAACACCGAAAAACATTCCAAACAACAACGATCGTCTCGAGCAAAAATCCCAGAGGCAGGCTTCTCTCGCATCCGCTCCCTCCTGGCCGAGAGGGCATGAATTGCGGATGGACAGAGATGAAATGACGATGATGCTAAGCGCCGGAAAAGCAAGTGCCGCATCGTCACCCAAGCCACCCAGACCGGGAAACCGGTCGACGCCATGCCCCGTTTGAGGCTTAGCTCTGAGAGAGAGAGAGAGAGAGTGCGTGTGTGCCTGTGTGTGCTTGTGTGTGTGTGTATGTGTATGTGCGAGTGTCTCTGCTCATCGTCCACCGCACGATCCCCATTCCCACGGAGAAGAGAGGGAATTCCATTTCTACACGCGATTGAAGACTGCTCTGATGGATGCGGAAGTATGCTCGAACAGGCTCGATAGATAGGTATAAAAGATCCTGGGCGCGATGTACGGCGTGGATCAATTGTCGATCCGAGAGTGGCTTGTTTACTGGCTTGCAGGTTGTCTTTCTCCCTCTCTCGCTCTCTACTTGCGACATATCTACATACATTCTGTACTTGCTCGCGACAGCTCTACAGAGCTATAGCTCGGAACGTACTAAGGTACATACATACTCAGGTCAGATAAATAGGTAGGTAGGAAGGTACCTGTACAGCTGTAAAGCTTCTCGCCCGGCGACTCGGAGGGATCGGCTCGTGCATGCGACACAGCCCAGGCGAAAGGCATGATTGCATACCTAGGTAGAGATGTCCAGCAAATCGTGCATATCTGTGGCTTGAAAGAGAGAGAGAGAGAGCGCGAGCGAGCTAAACGGCCACAGTGCCAGGTTTTTAATTTTCTCCCTATCTATGCACAGATAGAGAGCACGACACCGTACCGTATCCATCATTGCCTACACTCAGTACTGTATATGCGCGCGTGTGTGTTTCGGCTGCCCGAGGGAAGTGAGAGAGAGAGAGAGAGAGATATACACGAGAACGGCGATGATGCCGGCGCACCGACGAGCAAAGCCACCTGGGCACCCAATGATGGAGATGACGTAGGTGGGAGAATCCACATCCACTCGGAAAACTAAAGGCTTTCTGGATTTCCAGCAACGATCGTCACCACCGTACGCAGCGACGGCTGTCGTTTACTATCGACGCGATTGCGCGCCAATCATCTCGTATGGGGTGGATATCACGATGCCTGTCTATCTGCCTGCCTGTCTGTCTGTCCACAGGAGTGGAATGATCGATTGGGCTTGCGATGAAGGAATTGTCATCCCGAGGCTGGCGGCGGGATGGGCCGGCCGTGACTGCCCTTCATCATTCCAAGGTTGTTATTATGATTCCAAGGTTATTATCAAGACCTCACCATCACGTGTTCGACTTCGGAGCTCAATGCGATGCCTCGTTGATGGGAAATACTGTATATATGACACGGGCGCGGAAAGCCCCACTGAGGAGCAGTATGGAGGTGTAGCTCATGGAACATGTCTTGGTATCACTACAACATCTCAGCCGGGGGAGACTTTCCCACACAGGCAGGCATATCGACGGAGGAGGAAGCTCCCTGTAACTCTCGCTCGTGGAAGTCTTTGCGCACCTATCACCTCTGGTCATTTCGATACGCATGATTCGCTATGTCGGAACGGTCACGGCGTACGATGCGGGGACGAGGCTATGGTGTGTGTGTAGCAATCCAGTGATTGCAGGCAGATGATCGATCGCGAAATGTCGAACCCTAACCCCGACCCTAATATCTGTTGGTCCCCGGCGACGAGCGCACCTAATAACTAGAAGTGCATATACAGTTGCAACTACAGACCGACTCCTTTCTGCACAAGCAATGTAAGGGTCAACTTGAACTGTGATTCTCCATCCTTTCTACCAGTATTCGCACGATATCCTAGAAGCATGGGAATCCTTCCTGCAACGTGTTCTGGACATTTCTTGTTCTAGCGCTAAGCTGATTCGCTTTCAGGCACGCTCGTACCGACAAATCTAGGTATTTTTCCACGATGAATCGCATTTATTACTATATTCGTAATTGGGTATCGGACGTTACCGTCGTTGCAGTGTAGGCATTTACTGGAAGCCGTTTTTTCTTTCATACATACATGTAGCATTTATTGCGTAGGGTCCTCCGAGTTTAGACGGGCTTCTCTTTTCTTCTCATCGAAAGGTCAGGTTTTCTGGTTGCGGTTTATCACCGAAATCTCGCTTGTTATTATTATCATCACAGGAGAATAGATTATGCTTCGCTGGGGATCCTTCCACACGTGCTCTGGATACGGTTCATCTTATTCTAGCATTCGCTTCGAGTTCGCGCCGACGGCCGCATTGTTTATTTTAGCGTTGGACCCTCCCATGGAGTTGCCAAAGCCAAGGTACTGCATGTGGGTTTAGCTCCTGTCAAGCATGTTTCCAAAACATGCTTGGTCAACCTTATTGAATCCTTCACTTGAGCAGTTCCGGGATAAATAAACCAATGAAAGTCGCAGAATGATCCATCCAAAGGTAGTTCCGGGACAAATCTAACATTGAAAGTCGCAAAATGATCTGTTCATTCCGAGGTTGGTCAAAGCCCCCGGATCTATTTATGCTTGATACGAATACGATGGCAAGTTTCATCTCGCCGTGCGATTTGCTTGTTCATCCCACTGTCGTCTCGCCCCTGAGCTTTTCACCTACTTTGATAACCTTCTGAACCGGCCTTGGTAATCCTACGGGATGGGGAAAGATCTCCTCCAAGGGTACGCGAAACCTCACCTTGTCCTCCTCTCGGGCGTTAGGGAAGCTTCTCCCCTGGAACATGTGTCGTCCACGTGGTCGCCTCGTGCTGAACGAATATCTGTTGGCGGTCAACGATAGGAGCTTCCCTCAAGATAATTACATAGGTCCGAGGCCTGGGTAGTCTCGAGAGACAAACGCCACGCGTCTCGTTCCTCTTCATTCGAGCCTCTGACGTGAACGATTCTACGGGAACTTCCGTGGATGTGGATACGTCCTTGACTTGGAACGCGACATGCAAGTGGTCCCTGGACAAGAATATTAGGATCAACTTGGCTACAACGTCCTCAGGACCATCCAGATGTTGATCCACGTGTTGACTCGTCGACGAATGTCATTGGCAGTCAGACTTTCTCAGAACCAGTGAGAGGAAGGCCATGCTTGCTATCGTGGCTTCTGACTTTGACTCCTTCAACAAGCTAGTAATACGAAACGATTTCCCCGGAGTTCTCCGTTGGTCATGGATACAGTATTGACTTGTAACACAGCAGTTAGTATGGATCGTTTGACATGGCCCTTGAGCAAGAACGTCGCACGAACAATGCTTACAATGTCCAATGAATTATCCAGGCACCGAAGAGTACAACGAAAATGATGACGACGATAACAACGACGATAGGAGACGCAGAAATGCATAAAGATGTGACGGAATCCCCGTCAATATCATTCATTTTCGTTCATCAGCTCTCAGTCTTCTTACAATTCCAAAGACAATCTCCTTACTTAAATCTTTCGATTCACCATTTCGACTCTCGGCTGGCACGATGAAATTCCAACTCGTGCAATCCGCCATCATGGCATTCCTCGCGCAGTCGATTTCCGCCGCGGTCGTGATCCGTCAATCCAAGGAGGCGTCCATATACGACATGCTCGGGTCCAACCCAACCTTGGTTTCCAACACCACGGACTACAACGGTGTCTTCTACCAGGAGCATGAAGATGACCCCAACGAGGACAGCAAAGTCGGAGGCGGGGCGCCCTTTGGCTGCAGCACCGGAAACCTCTGCGATTACCAGCCCAAACGATTTAATTCCTTCCGGTGGGAGACCCAATCCACCTCGCAATTCCGCGGCGGATTGCACCGCATCTCCGAGCCTCTGTGCCCTCCGGGAACCATCTCCAAGAGCTACACCTACTCCTACTCGTACCAAGTCAGCGTCCAAGCCGGCCCCGACCTGGTAAGTTGTTCGCCATGTCATGCCAATGTTCGAGCGACGGCCAGACACAACCACCAAAGGAGAGAATTCCCGCAAAACCACTGACTTCCTACTGTGTAACACAGAAACAACCCTTGATCGCCGCCATCGACAAACTCGGCATCCGCGCCGGTTTCTCCTACACCTGGGGCCATGCCGAGTCCAGCCAATACACCGTGCAATGCAACGACCCCAAGAACAATCACCCCTGCGTGGAGACCTTCTCCCCCATGATCGGCGTCATCTCCGGGATCGGCTATGTACGTTTGCCCCCCACATCCTGCTCCACCAGCAGCAGAATCGTCCGAGGGACATAGCAGCAAAGAAAAAGGAGAAGAAAAAAAAAGCAACCCCAAGAGAAAGAAAGAAAGAAGAAAAGGAGAAAACGTGATCGCTGATTCCTCCCGATGAAAATAGTCCACGGTCGAAGTCCCCGGCGGAAAGGTCTGCTCCCGCGGCGACTCCTCCCACATGACCATCCACATCCCCGTCGTGCAATCCTCCGACTGCCAGGGGACCTCCAGCACCTGCGGCGCCCAAGGTGAGTTTCCTCGTCCTCCCCTGTCGTCCCTCCTCTCGTCCGGCCCCTTTCGCCATTTCTTTTTCTCTGGCCGCCAGGACATGACATGACATGACAAAAAGAGAATCCCCCGGCTGATCGTCTCCCATCAGGGATCTACGACTCCTGCTACTATGCGGGCGACTACGCCAAACAGCTCTGCCCGAACCGGAACTTGGGCACGATCCCGAACGGTCGTGTCTGTCCGTCGAACACTTTTTGATCTCGGCCGGGCTGATCTCCCTCCCGTCCCCTCGCTCTTCGCTTTCTCTGCCGGGTCCTGGCATTGTTGTTAGGTCGATCGCCATATCGGAAGGAAATGAATACATGGATGGGAGACGGAGTGCCGAGAAGGGAAAAATCGCGGATATGCCAGAGTCGGTGGTTTGAATTGTGCTACTCTTGGAAGTCGAGATGCCTTGTTTGTTGGTATTGAGTGGGCAATCTACTCTCACCTATACAGTCTCTCCCGAAAATTTGGATTCAGCTGTTTTGCCTTCCAGAGAGGCGGTGGAGTGGGAGTCATCCATGTCGACAAAAAAGAAGGTATATATCTCTCCCGGCACGTCGATACGTCTATTATGTTTCTCTCTATAGGATCATACTTCGATCGGATAAGTAATCCAAGTCTGGGAGATATATGTCCACGGGTCTGTGTCTGTCTTCTGTCTACTGCATAATCCTCTCCTCTCGTCTCCTGTCGTGGTAAAACGGCAAGTGCACGACGCGAAAACGGCAACAAACGTGAACAACGCGCAAATGCCACCACTGATAGCATTTCGACCGACCACCCGATCACGCGTGTACAGTAGTGATAACCATCATCTCAGCTATCGACTCTCCATATCCATGTCAATCAATTCCTTATCCTCTCACCCTCCCGAAGGAATAATTATAATTTGACATGAAAGTTCGAGTCCGCGTGTCCCGACCGGCAGTGGTGTAATGCCGCCAGTCCCAACTTCGATGGGGGTAAGTTTGGGTGGGATGGACGTGTGGCTCAAAGGCCGGCCGGCGCGCGCAGATCATTCCTCTGGCCGGTCGATTTTGACATGTGCCAACGCTTCTCTCGCCCGCCCGCTTTGCCAACGGTCTCTTTTTAATCATTGTTGGCGCCGTGCCTGTCTGTCCTGTGTATATCGTGCATTACGCGATATCTGTCCTTTCGCCAGCCATTTATCAATCGATACATTAATATTGAGGCGCTTGTGTGCATGGGATATTGAAGAGCGGTGGATGCGGCGCGGCGTGATCCTCGGTGTCGTCGCTGATTAAGCAGATCAGGATGAGCGTGAAGAGACGGCGGTCATGATGACCACCCAGAAGCCCATCATATAGTATATCGTAATAATCACGACGACTAAGCTTTTGATCGGGCTCATCCTCTAATGCAACTCTATTTCTCATCGTCTTCCACAGATTCTCACTGACCAACACATTCCGCATCGCATCCCACCGCCACTTAGCTCACTGGTCGGATCGGTTGAGGAGCATTTATCAACGCTGCGAACCATGATTGACAGATATCCGCGCACGTGGAGTTCCCTCTTCCCACCGCGGTGGGCGCGCATGCAAGATTCGGAAACGTGCAATGCGATGACTTGGCCTTTTCCTCCGTGAGGCAATTATTCCTCTCCTTCCCGACAACGTTCTGGACCGTCACGACCGTCGTGGACATCCCTCGAGCTACTAATAGAAGCATGATGGCGCCGGGCGTATGAGCCGCTGATGCAATCGCAACTCTTCATCATCCATTGGCATGCACGGGTTTTTTAATCCTTGACTCCTCCAAATTGCGACATGATTCATCTTTGAGCTGCTACCTCGAGATTTTCTGGTCTGCGACTCATCCTAATTTCTCATCGTCTTCGTCATGAGGTGGTCATCGTGTCTGGCTGTACTCAGCCAGACCATCGCATCAGCCGCAGCGCTGGACACGCGCTCCACACCCTTCTTCAGCAATGATCAGACTTCATTATATCTCATGTTTCAGAACAACTTGAACTTCACCGACGACGGCAACCACATCAGCGCGATACTACTTGATCCCATGACATATGATCAAGCCTCCGCTGCATGCAATGGCCTAAACGAGACGTTGATTCCACTCGCCTCACTTCGCGCCCACTCCTCAGATTTATCATATTCCCTCCGATATCAGGAGTATCTTGCGAGCCAGGCCAATCAGCTTTTCTGGATTCAAAATGGGGTCGTCGGCGTAGATGAGCAACGTCCAGGCCAATTGCGATACCCGACCACTACGCCATCGAATAGTGCACGACTCCCCGTAATCTGTACTCAATCATACACCAACAACTACCCGAATACTGCACAGGCCACGCCTCCGATCGGAATCCAATTGGCATCAACAGGGAACACGTATGTTGGATTCCGCAACCTCAAATCATTCCTATTCCTGGGCATCCCCTTTGCCAATTATCCAGGCCGATTCGAATATTCGACGGTATACAACAACACTGGCCAAACCATCTATGCCACCAGCTTCGGTAAACCCTGTGAACAGCCATTCTTTCCCGACTCGGCTGAGGAATGTCTTTCGTTGAACATTGAGACTCCATACATTCCGCGTGCAGGATCGACAGGTGGCCTACGTCCGGTGCTTGTGACCATACCCGGTGGTGGCTTCACGGTCGGTGCCAGCAATCAACTCGATCCGTCCAACCTGGTCTCTCGCGAAGACATTGTTTCGGTATCCATCAATTATCGCTTAGGCACGTTCGGTTTCTTCACCGTCCCTGGTACCGACCTCAAAGGCAACTATGGTATCGCGGATCAGATCACGGCGCTGCGATGGATCAAGGCGAATATTGCCAACTTCGGAGGCGACCCGAATCGCGTCACCATCACCGGAACCTCTGCAGGAGCAAGTTCCGTCCAAGCACTCCTGGGCTCACCACCGGTCATCCAGGAGAAGCTGATATCCGGCGCTCTCGTTCAATCCAACCTAGGGGGTGGCGTCGGCTTGGGACTTACCTCGTCCTACTACACCCAATTCAGCGCCTGGCCCACCATTCAGCAATCCTACGAGGTCGCCGGCCAGCAAATCTTCCAGAACGCCGGCTGCACCCAATCCAACCTCGCCGACCAAATCGCCTGCCTGAAATCCGTCCCCGCACAAACCATCATCGACGCCGGCAACTACGCCCGCTTCGTCGTCCAAGACGGCACCTATATCACCCACCCAGAAACCCCCGTCGGCAAGAACACCGCCACCCAACAAACCACCGCCCACGTCCCCGTCATCTTCGGCAACACCCTCCACGACGGCGCCAGCTTCGCCACCTTCCCGCCGGCCTCCTCCACCACCAGCCTCTCCGTGGGGCTCCAATACAGCCTCAGCATCGGCGCCTCCGCCGCCGACTCCATCCTCTCCAGCGGCCTCTTCTCGGCCTACAACAGCGGCAACCTCACCCTGGATGCCTTCAACATCAGCGCGCGGGTCGCCTCGGACTTCGGCTTCCGCTGCACCAGCACGGCCTTCGTCTACGCGGGCGCCACCAACGCCGTTTTCCCCAAAGCGTGGTACTACACGCTCTCGCGGACGTGGCAGGGCTACGACGCGAACCACCTCGGGCCCGAACTCACCCGCGGCCCCACCGAGTCTCCGGATTTCCCGCTCGGTAATCCGAATAAACCCTACTTCCGCCTTCACGGTGGAGAGGGTGGCTTCATGTACGGCGAGCAGATCCCATTGAGGGACGTCACCGACCTCCGTGCGAGCGAGCTGATCGCGGGATATGTGGGCAGTTTCGTCCGCACGGGCGATCCGAATTCGGACATTAAGTGGTTGAGGGTGAGGGGGTACTACGATGTGAGTTTCTTCTCTTTTCCCTCCCTCTTTTCTTTTCCTTTTTTTGCATTGTTCTGTTTACCCCAGATTTTCTTACTCTTTGCACCATTACTGACGGGCGCGAAAATTTATAGCAAATCTCCTCCATCAATGCCAGCGGTCCCTGGTTGCCTGTTCGCAACGAAACGGGGCCCACGAAATTGTTGGATTATCCTGCCCGCGACGCCACTTTCCCGGAGATGAAGCAGTGTTCTTGGCTGAATTATTCGATCGGATATTATGTTGATCATTGATGCAAGGGCGTGTATGTGTGTGGAGTATTCCTCGGCTGTTCTCTTGTGCAGAGGAACGACAGGGACGGGGAGACTTTGGAGCAGAGTAGGTATGGATATAGAGATAGAATAGTACAAAGATGGGTTACAGGGCGATATGCGTATGATCAGCCACGATCCGATCTTATTTTATTCTGGACTTCTTCTTGTCGTCGTCGTCTCAACGATGATGCGGCTCTCCATGTCTTTGTTACGCCATGGCTGGGCTCTCTTCGCATCCGCTCCCCTGCGCCTTCGCGTGGGGACCACCACCACCATTTCCCTCCCGAATCGCCACGTGCGGTTGAACCCCGTGGATCATACGCCGCCCATGCTCATGCACGCCTCCATGTGCGTACACAATCTCCTCCTGCATAGATTCTGCATTGCATATTGCATAACAAACAGCTTCGAGGATTCGACTTCATTCGTCGACGATGATTTATATATAATTTAATCTGCCCAGGTGGACCATGTTTTGGTTCACAACAGGCATGTCCGGCGTTCACAATGCATCATCACGTGATGACGCATCAATGGCTGCCTCGAACGTCGGCTTGTGCCCTATCTACAGTGGACACTAATTTCCCATCTCCTGTACGTACATACTCGTTGACGATATGCTTCTCTTCCTATACAATCTTGGTTCTACGCTTTTGCAGGCGGCGATACCTCTGTCACGCATCCTGAGTATTTGCTACTCCCCGGCCTGGACCATTCCATGATCGATGAGAGATCGGCGTGACGACCCGCGTGTGCAGAAGACCAAGACTGCTGCAAGAATAGCCTGGATGCGTTCGGGACAGGGCCAGACCAATCTCGCGTAAAAAGATCTCACCCGCCGGATCGGGCAAAGCCTCGCGGATTAGCTGGCGCCACCATCGGCAATGTCCTAGATTCTTTCGGATTTGGCACGACGATTCCTCCGCGAAGAAGAAACATCAGGAGATGTGATGGTTATTCTTGACCTGTCTCTGTCCCATTCGAGGCTCATGTCCACCACCATCCATGCAAACACGGAGCCCAACGACGCGCACCCGCGCATCGCATCGCATGTACTGTGTACATGGATTCATTGGCGGGATGGCGTCGCACGCCGCGATGCTTGTCCCCACTGTACATATGCTCGGCGGCCATTTGGATTATTGCAATATAACATAGACGTTCCCTGACGCCCCCTTCATCAGGGCACATTCACCTTCCGTTCGACACTCATCAGATCGGTGGTGTTTACGCCGTCACAATCGTCATGTCTCCAGCTTCTTTCTATTCCGTTCTTTTCGCGTCTCTGCCGCTCGTCCTGGCAGGCGCCCACATTCCTTCGACTGGCGGTTCTGTGTCGGTTTCCATTTCGATAGGATTAGATGCCGGAGCATCTCCTGCTCCGTACCCAACCAACAAGCAATGCGTTCGCGATCGCTGCGCTCGTCAGGTCGCCGATGGCCTGCGACAATATCAGGCACCAGCAAGGTCCTCTGACTGTGCTGCCCTCTTCAAAACTGTTACGGTGACACCTGCGGCTGTGACTGTGACCGTCGGCACGACACCTTCGCCCAAATCGACCACAGTGACCACGTCCGTCTCGACCGCTGTTGTCACCGATGCTACGGTCACTGCTACCACTACTGAGACTGTCACGAACACCGTCACTACCGTCACCACTAGCTCGGCCACAGCGACTCAGCTAGACCAGACGACTGCTACTTTTACGACTACTTCTACTACCACCGTCTCCAACCCCACAATTACTGCAGCTTTCGGCAAACGAGGCGAGGCCAAGGTGCCACAATGGGCTTGCGACTGCCCGGATACTGCACGTCTCTCCAGCGCGTGCGCCTGCGCAGGATTTGCGCCACGAACGGTCACCGCCGCCGTCCCGACTGTCTACCTGACCGTGGCTGTCGCGACCCCGACGACTACTGTCAATGTCGTTGGTCAGACCACCGTAGGAGCCACTAGTAAGTGTGCTGAGAGTATTCTTGACCCCATGTCTACACAGAACTAATGTATTTCCTAGCCACCACGACTACCGGAGTTGAGGCGACTGCCATCGCCACCGCGACGAGCGTTATTCAAGTCACCACGACTACGACCTCTTTGCAGACCTTTAGCACTACTAGCACCACCATCGCTACAGTCGGTGCAGCACCCTCAGGCACCGTCGGCTACTGCGCCGATGGGACCGTTGTAGATGGAAGATCGACCGGAAGGACCGGCGCTGCCTCTGCGATGTAAGTCACAACCAGAGCTGGGAGAAACTGCATCGAGTCTCACGAGCTGACCTTCATTGAAGCCGACCTTTCCGTATCGAAGGCGAGTTTGAGACCCTTTATGAAGGTTTCATCCTCTCTGGACCTCAGAATATCACTACACCCTCTGGCGGTACCCATCTCTGCGACGGAACCAACAACAATGCTAACCCCGCCCCTGTTGTCACTGGTACCGACCAGATCAACGATGCTGGCACACTGTGCGGATTCGACTTCGACGGCACCTACTCCAATCAATTCCAGGATTTCTTCATCACTCGCATCGGTCCCAGTGCCCAGACCAGCACAAGATTCTGGTAAGTCCACAGTCTGGATTAAAATCACTCGTCAGAAACAGTCGATCGTCAGGAACAGTCGATCGCTAGAACCATAAACTAACATGTCATGTGTGTGTGCAGGGGTATTCTCGACAACCTCGTCTTTACCCCTACCGGCGGCTGCCAATACGGCGCCTACCCAGGCTCCAGCATCCTCTGGGCTTATGACGCGTTCGCGCCCAACCGCGTATTCCTCCAAGTCGCCCCCGGAGCCCTCACCCTCACGGCTGGCGAATCCACCGTCTTCACTGTACTGGCCGTTAACCCCAACAGCGGCAATGCAATCCCCGCCAATGGCGCCTCTTTCAACGGCCAACTCTCCGATGCCAGTGGTAACGTCCAATTCACTGCCCCCACCACTCCGGGAACCTACCGGTACAAGGCGACCAGGGACAATTCTATTCGTAGCGCAGCCGTCGTCGTCACTGTGACTGCGTGAGGTTGACGGTACAAGGGAGCATTGCCGGTCGTGAAGCAGGACAACCCCATAGCGGACAGGAATGCTTGCTTGGGGCAGAGTTCGCGCGTGTGTGATTTGGGATTCGGCGTACGACACCTGTGGTCTGCACAACATATCGGATTGTGTCTGCTTCACCCCTCGCGATGGAAAGCGGACTCGGGAGACTACCTCCTTCTTCTTCTTCGGATTTCGTACCTTCTTTTATCCGGGTCTCAATCTTCCTTCTTTCAACCCAAAATCACATTTACTTCGACATTTCTTTCTTTTCGAAAAAAAACAAGGTGCACGCGAGCCGTCGCCGCCGCGGCATCGTAGGGTCCAGGCCAGGTCAATGGGGCTTTTCCTTTCTCCCTCTTTTGATCTTCATGTACACAAGAATTGTCGAATAATCACAAAAATGGCTTTCAGTGGATCATGTCTCCCAGTATCTCCAGAGTTGTGTGGTTAAAGAAACCGGACCCAGAATGTTGAAAGACCTTGAGGACAACCCTCTGTATATGCATCCAATGGATATCGGAGATAATAGGCAACATCGGAGTTCTTAAGACCGGGCGAGGGCAAAGAAACGAGCCCTAACGTAGGGCTCGCGAGGTTTCCCGACGCGACCAATCAACGTCTGCGCGTGCTTTTCTTATTCTTATCCTTATTGTTCCCTTCACCTTTCAGCCGCGCCTGTAGATATCTACTTTTGCCTATATGCAATGATCGTGACGTGGTGGTGCCCGAGTTTCGATGCTCTGCGCATTGCTGCCGTCGAGGCAGAAGTTGACCCTTGCCTCTTTGCGTGATACGAGAGTATTCTCACGGGTATAAGATACGGAGGGAAGCTCCCTTATCGCCGGAACTGCGTGGCTGTTCCGTTGAGGACACGAGATATGGAGCATGATGAGGAGAATCACAGTTGACGATGATGACGGCGGTGGTCGAAAGGCCAAATTCGTCTGGAACGATCTTCAGGATATAAAAGGGCGATGGATCCGCTGCTGTGTCGACTGTCAAGCAATTCTGCATTCTCATCGTTCTCTCGCTCATACAAAAAGTACTTGGACTCGAGGCAGTATCAAAAGAAATTCTCAAAAAGCCATTTCACCTTCATCATGACCGACGTAGCACCAACCGTTGTGTTCATCACAGGTGTTGGACGAGGTGGGCATTCTCTGTTTCTTTGCTCTGGCATCAACATGATCAAGCTGCACCCCGATGAAGCACTTCAACGATCCCCAGCTTGCAAGAATACAAGCGACGAAGAAGCACAAACGTTGAGATTGCCTCCGAAACTGACTTCGAGATCTATTTATCCTCCAGGCATCGGAAAAGGTCTCCTCGAAACCTACCTTCGCCGCGACAACCACCTCGTCATCGGCAGCGTCCGCGATGCCACCTCCCTCCAATACGACGCCCTGAGATCCCTACCAACCGGCTCCTCCTCTCGACTCCTCCTCGTAAGCCTCGAAAGTACCTCTTCCAACTCCGCTCAAGAGGCCGTACAAGAAGCCCAACGCCAAACCGGCATCACCCATATCGACCACGTCATTGCCAACTCCGCTGTTGCGCCCCCGCCTAGCGCCATCGCTGACGTCGATGAAGCTGAAATGGCCGCCGCCTACGATGTCAATGTCCTTGGTCCCCTCCGCTTGTACAAAGCGACCCGTGAACTCCTTGACAAGGCGAAGAGGCCCATATGGACGACTATTTCGAGTACCGCAGGCTCGGTGACCAAGGTGCAGGAATTTGGCATTGTGGCACTTTTGTCGTACGGAGCGAGTAAGGCGGCGGTAAATTGGTTGACGGTGTGAGTTCTTACTCTTCTTATCCTTCTGATTCCTTTCTCCAGGCTCGGCCACCCGGTAGTCGGTCTTGTTGTCCTGCTGCTCTTCCTCTCGACTTGAACCATCATCCAATTCTTTTAACAATCGTACCCGGTCAATCTTCCACCTTCCCTCATTGACGTCCGATCTGAAACAGCGCTATACACACCACCCATTCTACTTGGATCGCCGCCGCAATCCAGCCAGGCTTCGTCAGCACGGATATGGGACGCAAGTCACGCGCAATCATGGGCTTTCCGCCGCCGCCTATGTCGGTCGATGACAGTGCGAGCAAGATTGTTTCTTATGTAAGCCTCATCTTCTCCTTTTCCCGCTCCATCCGTCCAGCATGCGAGATAGGAGATCCTACTGTTCATCAGCGGATCATTTTGCTGATCATGTCTTCGCAGATGGATAATGCAACTCGCGAGAGCGCTTCAGGGATCCTGTTTGACGTGATGCACGAGACCAAGGTGCCTTTCTAAGTCATCCGAGTCGTACTTCGAGCCTCCCCATCTCCGCCTAGATTAGTTTCTCGCCCTTCGAAGATTTCGGGAGGAACTTTCTTTAAGGCAAGCTGTCCTAGTGGTCTACAATCAAAGGAATTTATGGACGTGCTTGTTCACGAAACTTGGAGTCTTGTCTCGCTTCTCGACGTCATGGATGATTGTCTGAATCGGGACCTGTGCGGTAAGATACGAAGAGCGCCTATCCGGTCTGATTACAAGGAGGGTGGTACCAATCAACGTAGATCGCAGATTGCGAGCGTTCCGAGAGAAAATACATTTCGGTCATTCTGAGTACAAAAGCTCCGAGGCTTGCTCGTACTTCCCTCGTCACAGCTGGACGACTAGATTAAGACCTTTTCCGAGGATGGAGCACTCCTACGGCTTTATGAAGACCGATGTGACATTCTGCTAATTCTCGAAAAGCAGCGAGGTAGTATGCTAGTCATCAGCGGGACCAGCATCGGCTTGGTTATCACATCGGGGTGTCCCGTCCGATATGACCAATTCCTGTATCATGATACGCGAGCGCTCATCACAAGCTTCCAAGACTAAGCGGGTGTGATCAAATAATGCATCCATTCTGGGAAAGCCTGTGCGATCGATTAAGTATAGTATGAAGATGGCAATAGCCTCGTTCCTGTAATCATATGCAGTCAAATGTAGACAAGCTCGCGTGGGTTTGTCGCTCTGTGACGTCGAGCAAGCAGAGCTAATTTTTTTCACAGGCACCAGATCCGCGACAACAGGCTCCGGCGTCAAGAGCGCTAACACTGCGCATCAGTGACTCATCAACATCAAGCTCCCAGACATGATCAGCACTGCACAGATCGTTGGCAGCAACTCGGATCGTCGGTCGTTGTCTGCAACCTTGAAATGCATGTTTTATCGTTGGACAGATAATGGAGAGCCCTGACTGCCGTGTCGCTGTCGTCTGCTGCGGGGTCGAGCCAGATCACGATTGAAGGCACTCTTTCGTAGCTTGCAGACATTCGTAAGACCTGCTTGTTACATTCTGCCAGGTTTTCCCGGGCCGATATGAAATGCGTCAAATTAAGAGTAGTATTGCGATTCGCTGTTGGATGACGTCCGTGGCGAAATTCTTGCAGAACCCGTGTCTTTGACAAGGCGCATTTGTTGACAATGGCACGAGATCTTTCGCATCGGTCAGGCCTAGGATAGGGCGTGGTACGCGGCTTAAACAAGTTCTGCACCACCCTCGCCAGGTTCGATCCCTTCAGTTCGATCCTGTCAGTTCGATACCTTCTGTGCCAGTGTCATACCCCGGAGCGCGGTGGAGCATATATGGCGCGGCATATCGTCATCTTCTGAATGAAGAATGGTTGTGACTCTTGACTCTCCTGGGGCGTCCACTTTGTTCCTAACGATGCATCTCGCGGTTGCGATCGAGTCGAAATCATAAACGTAGATGTATTAGTAGACCGCGGTGGAAGTAATATCAATAAACTGGAAAAGCCGCCTGTCTTGCTCCACACGTGCTCCGATCGACCATCTGAGCAAGATAGGCGGCGGCCGCGGGACCAGCGGGCCGCCGGGATTACATCCCGGCGAGACCCGGCACATTGTGACTCGTGGCCAATCAGACACATTGGCTGACCTCCACGTGCTGGGACAGAACTTGTGTAAGGCCACAGACCGCGCCTCTTCCTCACTTTGGAAGCGAGCTTCGCCCTGCCCGTAAGCTCGACTTCAACTTCAATAATTTCGACCATTCGTTAGAGGCCATCCGTGCTCATATGACAACATGTCGACCACAAGATTAGTCCAGAAAAAGGATATGATCCACGACACCCTCTTCGTCGAGATTTACGAAGTTTTGCTTCCGGCAGATTCTGTTACTCCTGGTATTCATCCGGACGAGCCGACGCGGTTTACGGGAGGCGTTGTAACGAGCGACCAGGTCCAAGTCTCATTCAGACTTCAAAGTCATTTTCGTGACCATCATCGTTGGGTGTGTTCAGATCCAATACAAAAATTTGAATTGTTCCGATGCACAAATCATATCCACATCGACATCATCTCAAGACTGACTCATGGGCCTCATTTATGCGGAGCCGTTGACCTTACACGGGTGAAAATTTCCGAAGATTTTGATCCCAAACATGAAATTGCAAAACTGGAGCCACATTGGATTGACCTGTCGAACCGAAGTGCAAAAATCAAGATTGGTTTGGGCTACGGCCGACGGACCCTACCCGGATCCACAAGGCTTGATCACCTTCATCTTTCGCTAGCATATGGTGGATCAAGTGTCACCACACTTTTTAAGCGCTATGACGAAATGATGTATGCGGCCAAGAGAGCAAGAATTCGAGTTTCTGAGCTTGAATGGAAAAAAGCACCGTTTCCCACCAGGGTGGAATCCGGGTTTGGCGTCGCATCCTTGCTGCACATATTGGAACTCCCGGGTCAAGATCACCTCATCACCCCCTGGGCCAGTGGCGGATGCCTCTTCTATCACTTGCAACGAGAGCGAACCTTCAGCCTTGCAAGATCAAGGATATATCTAGCAGAGCTAGTGCAGACGCTGGAAGATATGAATGGGTACGGCTATGCAAAATACAATATCCGACCGCTCGCCGTCATGCTTAACGCGCTGGGACATATCATGATATGTGATTTCGATCTCTACCGCAAGTCAATGGCAAGTGCAGAGATAGTTCGAGTCGACTTTCAGGAGAATAGATATCCAGCTCCTGAGACATTCTCAAACATCCAACCTACGGCTGCAACAGGTATACGCCCCGTAAAATAAATCTCGTGTAGAGCGGCGCTGACGAATGTAGTGGTGTGGACAATTGGAGCGATCCTGTACGAGATGCTTTACGGCATACCCCCGTTCTACGAAGAGGATGTCGAACTCTACCAACTCAAGATATGCGGGGCCGACAGCCTGGTCTTGCCCGACTCTCCTATCATCCCAGAAGTCGCGTCAGATCTCCTCACTCAGCTTCTTCATAAAAACCCGACGAATCGTGTAGGCGTTCGAGACCTTTCTGAAATCAAAGCACACGGATTTTTCACGGGAATAGACTGGACCTTGATATCCCGGCGAGATTACGCTGCAGATTTCATCCCACCTCTCACTTCGCCCAAAATTCCGGAATCCGCAGAAGTTTTCGATTTAAATGAACAGGAAGCTTGGAATATCACTTGGTCATTGCGATTGGACCCACGACCTGACCGTACACGGGAATCGCCGGAATACGAAATGTTGTCGGAATTTCTCGAAGAACGAATAATCCGGACCATGAAGCTTGGAGAAGCGGTATGTCGAGAGGATATCCGTGCTGCTGAAGAGCTTCTTGCGCAAGGCGCCCGATGTGATTTCAGAGAGGACGATCGACCCCGGGCCGTGCCGCATGACGAATCTCAATGCTTTGACGCCTGGGATCCAACCTTTCCACTGGAATTTCTCCCTCCCCTGCTATATGCCATTCTCGGACGAAATGCGGACCTAGTAGAACTCCTGCTCACGAGCGGCGCGGATCCAAACGCCAGCTATCATGATCTAGATCGCGCGAATTCGTTTCTTACCGAACACGTACCGATCCTGTGCGGTACAGTGGCGCAACTTGCTGCCGTCCTAGGTCTCGAAGAGATCACTCGATCGTTGGTAAGAGCGGGTGCTCGTTTCGACCTGCCACAGTCAAGCCGAGCACATCATCAGTGTCCGGGAGTCGAGCGAAAGACATGGCTTCGAATGGTTAAACGGTTTGGGGCCGGGGCCGAGTAATTTTGACGGGCTCCAGCTGGGGGATCTCCTATGTTAGCGAGGTGGTTGATGCTGGTGACCGATGATGTCCTGACCGAACCGTGGTTCGATGGCGTGATCATCATGCTGCCATAGCGAATTCGATACGGCTGAATCTTGCGGTCTGGCTGAGGACGATCACGGCAAACGTGGAACTTGTTGCGTATGCTCATGAAATCACGTTTGTCGCATATATGTGGAGCATCGGGTCAAGACGATCACCATCACTGTATCGCAGAAGAAAGTCACCGAGGGAAATGCGTTTCTACCTTCTGTCTAAATTTATCACGGCCTAGACGTGCTCAACCCGGCCAGCACACGGTTCGCGAAAAGGTAGCAAGCGTGGGGTGGCCACATCATTTAGAAGTTATTTGACTGATGCAGACGTAGTAACCCTGCCACAACGAACCACAACTGCTCCCCACTGACGGATTCCACCCGTAGAAGTCATTGAGAGAGATACCCGCCGCTTGAGCAATAGCGTAGCACGTATCACCCGAGGTAACCAGGTGAAAAGTACGGCAGCTTGCAGACATTCCTGATTGATAAGGCGTTGGGGTGGCGACACCGTTGGCGGATGTGGTCGGTGAAGGGGATTGTGCAGTAGAGGTTGTCGCTCCCGGAGAAGACGAGTCGGGGGCGATGATGGCAACGCAGACGTAATAGTTGAGGTAGAGACTGGCGCATGAGTTGCCGACGGCCGGGTTCCAGCTGTAGAATTGACCCAGGGAAATGCTGGCCGCAGACGCGATAGCACTGCATGTATCACCCGATACAACAAGATGAAAAGAGCGACAGCTCGTCGTCATGCCTGGTTGATATGGTGTTGGAGTTGTGACGCCGTTTCCATTCGCCGTGGTTGTCTTTGTCGCTCCCGTTGTAGTAGCTGATGGGGTGGTCGCTTTGGTGGTTCCAGTCGTCTGCACGTTCGTGATAAGAGTACTGCTTGTCTGGACAACCACTGTGGTCTGGGTACTAGAGTGTGTACTGGCCTGGCCGGTGCCGCCCTGGGGTATGGTACTGGAGAGCATGCTGTTTTGTGTTGGCGGAGGTGTCTCCAGCGTCACCTTGGAGGTCGGCGGGTGGCCAGTCGTCGACGAAGTTGGTGGCGAGATACTGTGTATGGACATGGAGGAATAATTGACTTGTACGCAGTAATACAATTTCTTGACCATGTGGCATGCCGAACCGGCATCGGTGGTGCTTGGATTCTATACACGAGTCAGCCGAAATGGTATCGAAGTAGTTGAGCCAGGCTTGACAGACCCAGGCTTCAAATTGGGACTCAGTCAATCCGTAGTACTGCTCAACGATGGAGCAATTGAGCCCATAGGAGTCTTGAAACCACATGGTACATCCTGGATCTGAACCGGGCGCTGGTGGACCAGGCGGCGCTACCAAGTAGCAACCGACTTGACCAGCTATGATCGTCTGGAGCAGGAGAACAAACGACAGCTTCATCTCGTGCAATCCACCGGGCAAGCCGCAATGGTCAAATGCCTACAACAGTGCGGCGGACTGTGGAAGTGCGACTATAAGTGATGTGTCTTGTGCCTCGGCCTCGTCCTGTCTTGTGATGCAGAGGGCGCACACCGCCGTTGGCTCGTACCCAGAAGCTAAAGGAAATTCCAACTCCGGCGGCTTCACAAGCGGGCGTGGGAGATTCGCGATATTCCGCGCCCACCCCGAAAAGCCATCAGGACAAGCAGACTCGTATCATTGCAGGGTGGAGTCGTTCCACTTGCAGCAGGGCCCACCATGGGATGGGGCTTCGGCGTTGCGTTGATCACAAGCGAGCAGATGCCGTCGGGGTGTTGGTGGGATGGATGCTCGACAGACACCTGAGCACATGTTGGAAGGATTTGCGCAAGTGATTCAGGCACCGAGTGTGGCGGCGAAACACTCGTGTGTGCCAGACCGCAGCGTACCTTCCCGGCCGAATTTTAGTCCTTCCTGTGGAGAGCCGCGCCGCATCTTGGGTGCATGTATCGCGCGCTTGATGCTGCGCCAACACCTCAGCCCCGCCCGCCCCCACTTGACTGTCAGACGCAACATCGCTTGTTGCCGCCCCTTTACGGCCTTCCTTCCTTCCATCCCACAAAACTTCCCGTGAGTCGGGCCGCGTTCTGGTGGGGGCGATCCTTTGGTGCGCGGGTGGCGTCGCGAACGGCCATCGGCCACCCAACAGCCGCCGTGCCACTGAAGACCTTTCCAGCACCAACCCGCCAACCACGGCCAACATACGCCGAGAAAGCCCCAACCAGTGTTTCACGCTATTGAATTGTGACATGCCTCTAGCTGAAGTGATCGGCTTGCATGAGCCGCGCGCATCATGTACATACTGTACACCCTCGAGGCTAGCGGTCCGTGGAGGTCTTGGGCACACCTCTCATGCATTCAACAATGCCTCGGGTGATCTCATCCAGTAAACGCTCGCTCTGATCCGCCCGGTTTCGTGCAGAAAACGTACATGGGTCGTCCTTGGGATCCATGCACCTCGCATGTGCCTCAACGAGCGCACATCTGTGACATCGAGGCCGAGGTCGGATCGTCACACACGTAAAGCCATACTTCCATGCCGACCCTTTTCTCAGAACTTTCAAATAGAGGATCGAACCTGACCTGCGATATTCCCAATCGGCCAAACGCGAACAGTCCATTGAAACTCGCTAGAATGCTTTTTGTCAACGATGTCACGCTGCTGGCGCTTTTGCTCCTCCCCCTCGCACTGGCAAGCTCTCTGAAGCATGGACGAATCTTACCTTTGGCCGCCTCTCTCGCAAGTAACAAGACCCTTCAGCACCGAACCGGTGCGCGCGACCTATTCTCCATTGGCGACAGCAACACCGTGGGAGGGTGCAGCGGGCAGATCGACGTGATTGACCGATGGGTCGAGGAAGTCCGGGCACTACATGCCGCGGTCGAGGATGCCTACCACAACTATCAGGGAGAGGACAAGCGAGGGATCAGAATGCTATGGAAAAGCTACGTGGGCGTAAGATTCATCGACGACGGCGAAGTACCCCAGAGTGAGACCTACTGGTCACTTATCGGAGGTACAGCATCCCACCCAAAATTTGTGTACATCTCGTTGATTCATTCACAGCGCGCATCGCTCGTATGTCTCAGTTCCTCGACGGAAATGGCATTGTGACTGGCACTTCTGGGTCGCCGCCCTGGTTGTTTTGCGACGGCACATATGCTACGCTGGCACCATGGGACCAACCCGTGAGAGACAAGGATGGCAACTTCGTCTATCAAGACGAGGAGCCTATCACATTGTTGAAGGCCTTTCCGGACGACTTTAACTCTGGGCGTCTAGCCTACTATGTCCCTCAACTGAAAGGTTACGATTTCCACCCATTCGGCATAGGCAATACAGGAATCATTTGTGAGGACAACCCCAGGCGTGGTGGATCTACCACTAGAGCCGAACAAGCTGTACCAAAGTTGGGGCTCGGAGTTACTTACAACCAGTTTGATCGACATGTCTTTCTCTGCCCTCGAGCTTTTGCTGGAGTTGGAACTCACACGGCGGAATACCTTGCTCAACTTACCTTTGGGAATAACTACGTGGCCAAAATCAACCTTTCTCACTACATCACGCGCAGCGCAACACTTTATCACGAGTTGTGGCATCTCACAGATGTTCCTACAGCCGATGAGGGTAGAACCTCCGATTCCCACTGTGAGTAACTCTAATCCCGATCCAGGATATCGGGAAACTGGCCTTGCTATCGAGCGCGAAGAGCATGTTGAGACTGATACAGCTTACCAGATCCCCTGCGAGACATTATTCAAACAGCTCAAAGCAGACTTGCTAGTTACAGAGAACAGTTGCAGCAAAATCCTGAAACCTGGGTGTACTTCGCAACTGCTGCTTACATGTTCTTAAATCCGCCTCGAGACAACAAAGGCAACACTATTGAGCCTGTTGTCTTTCTCGAGGGTAAACCTATTCGGCTGAGCGAATGGCTCTAAGACCGGAGTTGATTCAAGTTGGAAACCGGTTCCGCAAGACTCGGAAGCAAAAGGTAACCCCGAATATTAAGCACTCGCATACTGTCCATAAGGTATCGACGACATAATTTCTTCATACCAAAAAGTCCCTATAATAATTCGTGTTACAAATGTAGTGGATCGGTTGACTTCCAGCAAAAGGTCTTGTATTGGATTGCAGTCGGTGTTTCGACGAGACCACGACGTCGTGCGATTGGGAGCCCTGGGGTTCGCATTCTACCATTTGATTAGGCAACAACTCTACGTAAGTGCTGCGACAGCGCCGAATCCGCTTGTCCCCCAAAACGCCGAATGTAGAAACATTCGGAGCATACTCGGACAGAACCGGGTACATCAGACCTGAGCACAAATGATCAGAGCCATACGAGCGATTCCCTAGACAGTCCGACCAATTCCTGTCGACCGAGCGTCCAGTACGCTCGCCACTTTGTTGCGTGCAGCAATAACGAGGCCTGATGGGTCTACAACGGAGACGCTAAGAACGTGCGTCCTGCCCTAGATGGTCGTTCATCCGCGACAAAGAAATAAGCTCCTTGCCAATAATGGCGCAAATGCTTGGTCCGAAGCGGACGAGCTTTGCGGTAGCCTCTTGGATCAATACACTGTCTGGTTATCCGTGGGCATCGGTGACAAATGCTGCATGTGTCGAGCAACCATCACAACTGAACAGGCAGGCATATCCCCTCCGACGTCGGTCTTGATCCTTTTCGAGTTGGTCGCCGGATAATTGAACGCGACTGATAATGCAGCTGCCTACCTACTGTGCCCAAATAGGAAGTTGAAAAGTTGTCCCTTAGTCGTCCCATCAACATCCGCTTGTGTAGTACCGTAAAAGGTGGCCCGATGTAACCTGGATGTCCACAAGCAATCGATGGTGTCCGCGCATATGAAGCGAAACGATAGCTTGCATTTTAGCGGCGCTTACGCGTAACGCGGGGAACCCCAACGCGGTCCATACCCCAACGCGGTCCACAATTTTGAACACAACAACGCGTCAACTTCAACACGCAATGGCTACACCAAAACGCGTGCAATCGTCCCTAAAAGAGGGGAGTCTATTGCTTGCGATGTCAGCTGTCAGATCAGGTGCCAGCCGCTCCGTAGCAGCGGCAGCGAGAGACTATAAGGTCTCAAAAACGACGTTGCTCCGGAGACTCAAGGGAATCCCCTCTCGAGAAGATTGGAAGCCAGGGACTCTGAAGCTCAGTCCTATTGAAGAGAGTGTCCTTGTTCAAGACATTCTTCAGCTGGATTCACAAGGGTTATCGCCTACAATCGCCC